ATATTCTGGTATCCTGACTCCTGGCTTTCCTCATCGCTGTGTCCCTTTCTGTGTTCCCTGACCTCAGCTAATATTTTTGACTATTCTTTGTACCTTAAATCTGGCCATTCTAAGGACCGGTAATACGTTACTTATTTGTCATCCGTGCTGGATCAAACAGTAATCCTGACAGAGAGCAGCTGCTAAAATACCATTACATGGCAGCAAACAGATATTTGAAGCTGCTGGTGCCCACGGACATCAAGGTGTAGAGTCCTCCAGAGTCCTGCAACTGTGCATAAACATTTTATTCGGCCCCCACAAACCAATGCTCACAAGCAGAAACGGCTGCATTGGGCAGAAAAATACATGAAGACTAATTTTCAAAACAGTCCTGTTCACTGATGAGTGCCGTGCAACCCTGGATGGTCCAGATGGATGGATGAGTGGATGGTTGATGGACGGCCACCCTGTTCCAACATGGCTACGACGTCAGCAAGGCGGTGGTGGAGTCATGTTTTGGGCCGGAATCATGGCAAGAGAGATGGTTGGCCCCTTTAGGGCCCCCGAAGGTGTAAAGATGACCTCTGCAAAGTATGTGGAGTTTCTGACTGACCACTTTCTTCCCTGGTACAGAAGGAAGAACTATGCTTTCCGTAATAAAATCATCTTCATGCATGACAATGCACCATCTCATGCTGCAAAGAATACCTCTGCATCAATGGCTGCTATGGGGATAAAAGGAGAGAAAGTCATGATGTGGCCTCCATCCTCCCCTGACCTCAATCCTATTGAGTACCTTTGGAGCATCCTCAAGCAAAAGATCTATGCGAAAATGACTTGCAACGCTGGAAGACAGCCAAACCTTGTCCCCAGAACCCTGCAGCTGAACTCCACCTTGAATATTCTTCCCAGACTTCACCAAAGGTACCAAAGGCAGCAAGACTTGTGAAGCTGCTATCAAATAAAGGGTCCTATTTTAAAATGCAAACACAGCAAATTAAAATGTTTAGTTCTTTACAACCTATAAAGTGTTTTGAAACTTACTGTGCGTAATAATTTGGAACAGTGCATTGTAAGTTTTTTATGTTTATCATTAGGAGGTTTGTTCAATAAAATTTGAATTGTACTCTTAATAGTTGATAACATAAGAATTATGCTGACTGTTATTTACATCAGTTATTTAGGTAAATGAGAAAAATATAATTTGCATAATAATTTGGAACAGGGTGTATTGTTCAGTACACTTGTGCAGGACAAAAAATTTTGGTTCCTCCTAAAAACATTTTCTGGTTGAAAGAATTTAGTTTATTTAGCTGTCCAGGATTTAATGATTACCCTGTTGTGTCTAAAGTGTTTTGTTTTTTTCTTTTTTAAAAAACACCTAAACTCAACTGGGTAGTGTCAGGATTACTAGTTGATCCAGCACGTAGAACTGTATCACACCTAGGACTAAAAGTTAACGTCTTACCGAGCCTTAGAATGGCCGGACATAACGTACTAAAGAATTGTCAGAATACTTGCTGAGGTCAGGGACCACAGAATGGGACACAATGATAAGGGAAAGCCAGAAGTCAGGGATACCAGAATACAGGGAAGTCAAAACGAAGCCAAAGTCAATAACCAGAAATAAACGCTCAGGAACACACTCTTGGACAACCACTAAGGGAAACCATGACAGGGCAATGAGGAAAAGGCAAAATGAGTTTAAATAAGCCTCTCTCAGATCCGATTTGCCTTACCTGACCTTTGATCCAAGAACGTGCGTGCGCATCCTTAACATGATGCCACACGCACGCCGACATCGTCAATGCCGTGGGCGGGCGTGGGTTTACAAATTAGTGTGGACCCGCAGCAGCCGGCGTCCACCAACATGCTGCAGGAGTTATACCCATTGACGCATGGCTGCCGAACAGCACTACCATGTTTGTTAGCAAGGCAATTACTGCATATGCCGCAAGGTGAGGATGAATATGTTATGTGTAGTCCCTAAATCCTGAACTGTTAGGGGGTACTTGAGGACTGGGTTGGGAACCACTGACCTCAACAATTAGTTGTAGTTTTGCGGTAATTAAATTTGTTGTGGGAGAGTTTCCACAGAGTGTTTTAAGATTATTATCACTTTAAAATTTCTATAAACTTATAAGCACTTATTGTATCGCACATTTTTCTTTTTTATTTACCAAAAATTTGGTGTTTGTATGCCACACACCTATTTTTTACTGCATCTGCAGAGATAATAGGTACTGCAAAACTCTGTCATAAAGGACAAAAATGAAAGGCATTTGAAACACAGGAATGACCACCAGCACCACAAATCCAATTTTAAAATGCAACTTTTCTACTAAAAAAAAAAAATACCACACAGTGTGGGCAATGTTCACTTGTGCAGCCACACACTGTGTATATTACTGAGGGAACAAGCTTGTAATTTCCAAAGCACAAGCAGTGGGACAGTAGCACATTTAATTCTAAATGAGTGAATAAAAGTGGCACTTGCAGTCAAGAAGAATTTTTTTTTTTTCTAATTATGGGAAGAAGGCAGGTTGGCGGAGGTAGTATTATGCTCTGAGCAATGTTTGGCTAGGTAACCTTGTGTCCTGGCATTCATGTTGATGTTACTTTGACATGTACCACCTACCTATAGATTGTTGCAGACTACGTCCACCACTTCATGGCAATGGTATTCTCGATGGCAGTGGCCTCTTTCAGCAGTATAATGTCACACTACAAGTATTGTTCAGGAATGGTTTGAGGAACATGACTTGGTGTTGCATTGGCCTCCATATTCCCCAGATCATAATCTGATTGAGCTTTTGTGGGATCTGCTGGAACAAACCCCATCAATGGAGGATGCACCTCGCAACTTGCAGGACTTAAAGGATCTGCTGCTAATATCTTGCTACCAGAGAACATGTTCAGAGGTCTTGTGGAGGCCATGCCTCGACACATCAGGGCTGTCTTGGCAGAACAAGTGGGACCTTATTGATATTGGGAAGGTGGTTTTAATGTTGTGGCTAACCAGTGTATGTTAATATACTACACTATAATTTATGTTGAATGCTTGTTTTGCATACTAATCCAACTACAACACAATTTCTTTTTTTTTTTTTTATGTTGTATTTATTTGGTTCCTTTTGGTCTCGATAGAAGGACATCTTACTTGGTTGTTTGCTGCCCATTTATATTGTCTATTTACAGACAAGTACTTGATCTTTTTGTTTTACTCTTCATATTTATACTATGAATCTCGTACATGGTGTGTACTATTGTCGTTATTTATCTTTTAAATTTAGCCTTTTTTCTATTAGGCTGCAGCATGGTAACCCTGTTTTGTACAATATATATATATATATATATATATTTGATTTTGCTTGATTGTTTTGTGACTGTTGTATAGTACACTGCATTCTTTGTGCTGCCATTAGCTTTGTTGTTTTAATTGCTCTGTACTTTATCTTATTCTGTTTCAATGTATGTTTTTATGTAAAATCAATGGTATTATTGTTAAAGGGAGGTAAGGGTTTTGCTCAATATCCATTCATTTTTTCCTTAACCTGACACCTATTATGATCACACCTGTGCTATAAAAAAAAAAAAAAAAAAAGTCACACAGTTATATTAGAACTTTTAAAGATGGATCAATTTTGTTTCTTTTTTAAGGAAGTACTAATTTTTTAAGGAATAAGGAAGATTAACAGTTCCATAAATGAATGGATGAATCAGTTTAAAATATACTCAAGTACATTTAAAGGCAAAGTTTCCTTGTGGGTGACTACACCAAACTGACACATTCTATATCTATTTTTTTCAATTTAGTAACCATTTCTTGATACAAATGCACACAACAGAATTCTGTAGTTTTGATATTACTTGCCTGTTTGAACCTAGTCCATTCACTCCTTTCTTGTTTTTTTCTCCCATCTATGTTTTTTAATTCTCTTTATATACATTTTGGTTCTGTACAAGCTTGTTATATATATGTAATGAAAAATCAATGGTATCGGATTAACTATTGTTTCAAAGGATTTGAAATGTATCTAACTGCAGTCTGCTTTCAATTAAACAATAAACAATAAAAAAAAAAAGATATATATATATAAAAATAGTACTTCATATATAACTATATATGTAGCTATCCTTAACTTTTTAAGACAATTATATGGCCTTTGTTTTACAATGTATATAAAATACACGAGGACAACAGGCCTACTTTAATATATCAGTGAAACAGTCACCAAAATGAGAGGCATTTAAACTTTAGTGTGGTACTCTACAAAATTGCATTTTTCTCTAAAAAATATGTGCTTTTATAAGTAAACAAAACTTGTTACTAGTGCAAATGGTAAATATATTTGAGACATCTAATGGCAATAATCTGTTGTGAAACAATGCATGATTTATAGGAGTTTGCTTATAGTGGCAAAGATTAAAGGTGCTACTGTCTGTAAGCATAACAGCAGCGACCTCTTCTGGTCTGTTTTGTGAAAAACCCTCAACTGAAGCCATGCCCATGCATTAAATTAAATTGTATTTGTTTAATTGTTTTACAGACAAGTTTCTTCAGCTATCTAGAAAATGGTCAAATGTAAAAACTTACTTATGGCATTAAACTATAATCATAGTGGTCAACTATAAAACCAATCACCCAATTTGATGGAGCAGAACAAATTTTATTTTAGTGCAAAAAAAAAAAAATACACATTTAATTTATTTTACTTCATAAAATACATTGGCAATCACAAACTTCTTTTTGGGATGAAGCATTTTTGTGCATTAGTATTCTTTGCTCAGAAAGTACATCACCGCTTTCTGCAAGTAGAACTGAAGCTTGTGATAAATGTGGACGCGTGTATCTATGGAATGCAGACTTACACAGAGCCAAGTCTTCAGGCGTGCTTGTTCCTTTTAAATTTGTTGCTTTTTACAGCATATCTGCTAAGATGGCAATAAGTAATCAGACCCCCCAAAAAAAATTTAAAAAAAATTTAAAATATAAAGCATCAGATGTCCAATGTAAATTATTCCTTTTTTCGAACTTTTGATCTTGGAGCTGAAATTAAGAACATAAAATGTTATCAGTCAATCATGGATCAGTTTATAAAATTAATCCTGTACACAAATTAACTAACCGTTCGGATTTTCTTGCTTGTAAAAAGTTTTCAACATTTCAACAGCTCTCTCTGTCTGGTATCCAGCTATGCACTGTTTAGAGAAAATTAGTAAGAATTTATGAACTCAGGAAATGGATTTAAATACGGTAAAATTTTTAGAAATCCTATTATGATTCAAAGTAGTTATTTAGCGGATTAAGATCCCGAATGTTACATAAACCCTGTAATTGTACCTTGAAAGGTGTTCCAGTACTAGGGATATCATCTTCAGCTATATTCAGTACAGACCCGCACCCTCCAAACCTTTCATTGCGACATCCATACACCACCAGAGGAATTTGTAAGTTGATGTAAAGGAAGGAAATGTTTGTAATAATAGAAAATGCATTTTATCCATAAAATATCAGAAATCATATAGAATAATTTCACACCAAATGTACAAAAGGGAAATTCTATATTTATGTCACCATATCTTGCCCCCTAATAGTTTGACAAGACCTCTTTCTCAAGGAGTTCTTGAGAACCCATTGAGAAAGGGTCTTGTCAAAATTTTGGGGTGCCAGTCCCTACTGTTCTCGGAATCAATTTTAATATTTTTAAGCAAGTTACAAATGTATATGATATACAATATGAATGACCAATTTATTGTGCAATAATATTATTTATAGAATTTTAAAATATCTGATATGGTTGTGATGAAAATCTGTTAACTATAATTTGGAATCCTAAATAAATAAAAGACAAAAACCTAAATCTTTTAATGCCTCTTACATACTGGATGATGTGTAAAAAAAACTAAAAAGCATCAATGCATAACTTTAGCAATATTCCAACCCATAAAAGTTGCAACAAAATATCAAAGGTTAGTAAATCCATGCTACAGAAAATATAAACCGGTACAAAGGGTAGATTGGAGATTACAATAAAGGAAGCTTGAAAGGAACAAGATTCAAGGAGAGACCAAAAATGAAATTCAATCTTAGCAACAGGAGGCTCAGGGAGGAAAAAAATAACGGCTAAAGGCTGTTGAACTAAAAAACTGTAAAGATTAAATTGCCAAGGAACTAATCTGAGGTGAAAGGCACTATTAATATACAATGTAATTCAGAATTCTGAAAGAGCAGTATACCATTTTGACAAGCATTACATTTGATGAAGGGGGGGGGCAATTTTATTTAAGGGGTTATTTAAGGGGTTGTCCCTGGAGGTAAGGGGATCTGGGAAATTTCTACAAAATGTAATGACACACTAATAGACATGTAACAGGTGAACTTATTTATAACAAAGACAAAGTAAAATCACTTAAACCATATATGGAACGTTGTGTGAATTTGTAATTGCTCAATAAAGCAACAGATGAAATTTACCTTGAAAGACTCCTGAGTGCTCTCTACTGGTATTGTATACAATTTGGTTGGAGACAGCACCGGAGCATTAAAAGACCGGGAGCATTGAGTGCTGGGACCTGGGACGTATATATATATATTACATTATATAATGTGCTTCCTCCTCCTCCAGTTGGTTACTGGAAATATATACAGTTGCTAGCAAATGTTTTCATAACTTGTAGTTCTATTACTGGAGAAAATTAAGGACAGAATATTTTGTATGCCTCTAATACAGAGGGATACATTAGAACCAGGGCGTCAAGCTATTTCATGCAGAAAACCAGCAGCTCAATATTCTTGTTTTCATACAGACCACAAATATATAACTCCGATGACCAATAAAAACCAAACACTTAACTAGTGTGTGGAACCGGTGTATCAGTGTCCCCAAAATGAACCTCCCTACAAGTCTTCCCTTAGATGCAATAGTATACCATACAAATTATTTACAGGGAATACAAGTGGACATAACATATTGCATAGTGTAATACAGTTACTACATATAAAGTTGCGCCAAATGCATCACAATCACAAGATTTAGACATTATAAATCAGCAAAAAAGGGTGCCTCTCCCGATATTGGGGGCTCATTGATTTCTCAATGTCTCCAATCCACCTTATGAAATTATTGATAAGGTAGATGTAAGCAAGGGATTCCAGCCAATTGGAAATAAAAAAGGCCTTTATTTAAAAATACATAAAAATGCGGTCAACTACATGGTCAACTTCAGGGATCAAATATTATATAACAAATGAATATAAAGCCCAGCTGAGTCCCTGCTTAAATCCCAATTCCTTGAGCCTCATTGGTCCAGCCGGTTGTGTACACCTCCTCCTCTATAGTGCAGATTGTAAAGTTCAACTCCACAGCTGATCTTACATCAGCCGCATTGTCTGTTTTATGGACTGATGGGAAATAGTCCAAAAACTGTGAAGAAGTGGCATTTAAACGACTTGTGATATTTTAATTTAATTTTGACACAAGCGCTTCCTTGCCACAAACTCCTGGAGGACCGTGAAGGCTAGCCTCCTGCCTCCAGGCTATGGGCCTGATCCTGAGGTCCTCTTGCTTGCGCTGAGGTCTGTGTGACGGTAATCACCATCACGGGAAGCAGAAGGACACTTTACTGATTTTTTTATGTTTTAGTCACCCTGTACCGATTATAGGTGCAGGGTTTGAATAATTGGCTAAATGTTTTGTATGCTCTCCTCTCTTGCTGATGCTTGCTGAAAACTAGATGGATTTAGCTATGGAGCCTGTATAGCGCCAACTGTTGGTAGCAACAGCTAAATGCACTACCTGAATAGCAAGGCCTGTTCATTTGCATATTGCTAATTCTGCAGGCGAGATATTTTGTGTTAATTATTGTCTTTCCCATCCCTTTATAAATAAGTCAATGTGTTAATAAGTTGCTGTATGTTGTCTGATATGATTTGATTAATTGTATTTTTATTGAGTTCTCGCTATAAGTTGCATATATGGGCTAGTCCCGAGAAAAAGTAAAGTTACAAAATAAAAATAGGGATTCTGGCACTCTGCCCAAAAAATAAACTTAATACCTTAATCAGACCACAGTGCAGCAGCAGTGGAAATACTATATTCATGCGTTTTTAATATTTAATGTTTTTAATATCTGGTCCCCGAAGGGTGAAAAGGCATAGGACCGCAGTTTTGTGTATTTATTTTTCAAATAAAAGCCTTTTTTTTCCCAACTTGGCTGTAGTCCTTTGCTTACATCTGCCTTATCAGTCCTTTTATAAGTCAGATTGGAGACATCCAGAAAGCAATTAAACCCCTAATATCAGGGAAGGCACCATTTATGCTGATGTATAACTTCTAAAGCTTTGGAGTGCAATACATTTGGAACAACTTTATATGTTTTTACTGTATTACACTATATTCATTAACATTCTAGGAACATATTTCCAGTATATATTTTGCATGGTGTCTCATACAGACCAGTAGACTGCTAAGAAAGGGGAAGGGGAGGGGAAGTGGCAGTAGAAGCATTGGTTTAGAGAGCAACCACCATAAAACAACACATTGGAGTGCCAATGATACTGTGTGAGTGGAGCACCCAATGCCAGAGGTGCATTGAAGAGATTGGGCCGCAGGAAAGGCACTCCTATGCCTTGGCCACATAACAAGGAAGGGCCACAAGAAGGATTGAAGGGACATGTGTGAGATGGAAGGATGAAGTAACACATAAGGGGTATTGGAGAGGGTCATGTCGAGGTATAGTAGGTAAGGAGACACAAACAGGTATTAACACAAGATTAGGAGAGATAGAGAATAGTAACACAACTGGAGTAGAGATGAAAAAGGGAGACAAGTGAGGTGAGATCTGGAAACAGAAGAGAAACAAGTAGAAGGTTAAGATACAGAAGGAGAACATGTGGGGGAAATAGAGTTGCATTGTTCAAATACATCGCTGTATTCCCACACACTACAGTGTCTGTCTACATTCACACAAATAGCTAAGAAAATTTAAAAACGTTGAAAGCAATTTAGCCGTACCATAAGGGTTGCATCAGTTCTGCACAGCTAAATCCTGCTATAGCCTGTGATATTGTGGACAGAATATGATGAAATTAAACTTCCTGGTATGTTGTCCCAATCAGTGAGTGTGGTCTTTTGGGTAAACCTAAAGGTCTTGTAAAACCACTTTGTTCTGTCCATTCAGTTTTGTCAAATATTTCAGACAGCCTCCATGCTCCTTAACCACTAACCGCAAAGTTTACAATTTTGGGGGTGCAAACAGATCTTTTCAGGGGCCAACTGTTTTGGTTAGTCTATGATACAGATAACATGTGCAAGTCCTTTTTCAAGATGCTTTATAATATAGATTTGTCTGAATTTTATTTTTTGTATTACTTCATTATTTAAGATTCAGGTTAGGTCAAGGTTTAGTGCTCAGGCTAGGTTTTCTTTAAAGAAAGACTCTAGCATTAACATTACAAAAATGTGTTACTAATGCTAAAGTATTATATTTAAATTATAAGGCCCTCCTATTTAAGAAAATGAAAGCATTTTACTTACCTTACCAGAACGTGGGTTTCACCATGGCTGCCGCTCCTCTGACTGAGAGCATCAATTCTGATGATAGCACCAATCCATGGGGAAGCATTGGGAGGCTCATGTTCATACTTGGCAAGCACTGACTCAATGCATCTCTACGCATTGATTTAATGCTTAGACATGCACCGACTCAATGCATCTATATGGGGAACATGCGGCATCTTCGTGCAGGAAATGGAGATGACAAGTTTTGCAGGACTGTAAGCTTCTAGTGCAGAGGGTGCTGCAGAATGTTTCCCTGGTGCTATGATTATAGCACCGGTGAAACATTACTGTTGAACAGGGGACCGGACCCCTGTAATGTCGGCTGGCTGGGAGGAAATGACAGCCTGTCACTTCCTCTCAGCTTCCTGTAGGGAGGCAGCGCGGGAGGAGGCATCCACAGTGTGAGGGGAATGAAGCACAAAGAGATTCAAACCCCTCACTCCCACCAGCAGCAAGACTCCAAGCCACCCTCCTGGCACATAAGGTAAGCTGACTGGAGGGTGGCTGGAGATCTAAAAAAAAGAATCACTTGTATGTGTATATATATTTAATACAATGTTAAACAAAATTCTGCACACCAGTCAAGCCATAAGACTTACTTTTCCCACAGAAATCCCAAATCTGCAGTGATGTTACAACCGCAAAGGAGTCTGGGTGGGCATATGCAAATTAGCTTAACAAAGAATCACATTTTTGCCTCATTCCATCATTTCCTAAATTGTGTTCCAAGCAGTTGTATACTGCAAACACAGATTAAAAGGAATCCATGTGTGTGTGTCTGTGTGTCAGGGTGTGTGGGCATGTTTCAATGTTTGTGTGTGTCACAATGCATGTGTGTATATATTGGTGTGTATGTGTGTGTGTGTGTGTGTATGTGTCAGTGTCTATATGAATTTGTGTGTAAGTGTCGGTGTATTTTTATGCATCTGTGCAAGTATGTATGTATATATGTAGTAGTGTATGTGCATACATCCAAGCAGTCAAACACCAGCACAACATACAAGCATTCAAACAAACAAACAAAAAAATACATACAAACACAACCCTTCACTCAAACATAAATACTTCACACAAATGTACATCTGCATTTAAAAGTGAACATTACATTCAGACACACCCCTGCAATCAAACGCAAACATTACATACTAACACACCCCTGTATTAAAACACAATAACTATATACAAGCATCCCTTCAAAACACCAAGACTGTACATTACACTATAGCACCAGTAAATGCAACCTAGAAATTTTGACTTGGTGTGCCTTGGAAAAATACTGAAATATTTTGGGTGCCTTGAACCTAAAAAGTTTGGGAACCACTATTCTAGTGTCTCTCCAAAGGAGTCAGTAGAGGTGGCGCTAGGAAACTATGTAAATTCTGCCTTCTTTCAGAAATGGTAGTGTTTACACTGCGGAGACTGCAAAGACAGTCTATTTGTCCAGGACCACTATATAAGCGTTTAAACCTAAAAGCTGTGCGGACACTCAAAAGGTGTTAAATCCAGAGGTATATTTTATTGAAGAAAAAAAAAAAAACAAAAAAAAAACAAAAACAATAGATTGAGAAGTACTTATACTGAGGCCAAAATGTTGCCTCTGTTTCCAATAAACATCTGCATTTGGATTTAACCCTTTGAGTGCACAGACAGTTTTTAATTCTATACACTGTATGTATGGGGTATCCATCCACACCTGTGAGGCACCATTGGAATATCCCTCTGCTTAGTGTTTGCAGCCCCATTTGATGTACATCAGAACCACTACATTAAGCTGTAGTGGTTCAGATGCCTTGTGTTTCCTTTAACCCCTTAAGGACACATGACATGTGTGACATGTCATGATTCCCTTTTATTCCAGAAGTTTGGTCCTTAAGGGGTTAATCATAAGACAGAACTGGGATGTACATAACCTATTCAGTTCAACATTGATGGGAGTTACATTTCTATACTGCATCTGCTATTTTCAGCTGAGGCCTGGAATTAAAACTCACACTAACTTCAGGCAGGCTGGGCTATGTATGTTTCACTGCTGCCCTGCAATACATGGCTTACTAATATTTACTCCTCAATACTAGAAATAACTATTTTCTCTTTATATATAAAGGGTATTTTATATAGCTTTCACACAACAGGGACTGTGTCAACTGTCATGTAATGTTTTAAAGATTTTATATAAAAAAAAACAATAGAATGAGATTATCGCATGATAAGTATTACTGTTAAGAATATAAAAAAATGATGATACCCTACGACAGGACAGTGATGGCTAACCTAGCTAGCTGAGCATCAAGGGAAATGTAGTCCAGAAACAATTTATGGTGTTAAGGTTATCCATCACTGCCCTACGACACTAAAGATGATTAAATTAACACTTTTAGTACCAGAACTTCATATAATGGTTTTGGTGTAAAGAGATCTCAGGCAATATGGGATAAAGATGCATCTCCTTTATGGTAACTTTTACAGAAAGGCATTAAATGTAAAAAGCTAAGGAATAACATTAATGTTAGAATGACTAATGTTAAAGGACCACTATAGACACCCAGACCACTTCAGCTTAATAAAGTGGTCAGACCACTTCAACTTAATAAAGTGCCAGGTCCATCTAGGATTAACCGTTTTGGCTATGTTTACATATGGGTTAATCCAGCCTCTAGTGGCTGTCTCATTGACAGCCGCTAGAGGCGCTTCCGCACTTCTCGCTGTGATTTTCACAGTGAGAAGACGCCAGCGTCGATAGGAAAGCATTGAGAATGCTTTCCTGTGCACTGGCTGAATGTGCGTGCGGCTCTTGCCGCGCATGCGCATTCAGCCGATGACGTTGGAATGAGGAGCAGAGTCCCAAGTGCCGGGAGCCCGGCGCTGGAAAAGAGGTAAGGGATTAACCCCTTCCTCACCCTAGAGCCCAGCGGGAAGGGGGCCCTGAGGGTGAGGGGGACCCAAGGACCCTATAGAGCCAGGAAAACGAGTATGTTTTCCTGGCACTATAGTGGTCCTTTAAAGTACTCGTTTAATATATGTATATATCAAATATGGTATAAAAGGATATTGAGTAATCGCAGTGCCCCAGCACACATGATGCATGGTTCCACGGTCACATACAAAATGGTGTCTTCAAAGACTTTTGAGGCATTCTTTCCATTCTTCCGGCACCAATCATCTACTTGATCAATTGCCACCATTTCTGCATGCCGTGTAGCCTGTAATGAAAAGACCAAGGTTTTTTCAGAGAAATATCTAGTAATGAAACATGATTAAGTTTCAGCTAAATATGTGAACAGATGTTTGGCTACTGGAACCACCAACATTTTATATGCTGACAATTAGTATTGTTCTCAGGCCCCCGAGAATCTTCCGTGGAAATTTACAAACAGCCAAGTGATTTGCTCCTGTATATTGTAAGATGGTACAGAGCTTTATCCCTTCAACTATTGTCCTCCATACAGATTTTTTTTTTGTCAGTCAACAACAACCATTACCATAATACTGGCATTGCAAAACATTCAGATAGATGTTAGAATTTCATCATGAGATAAATAATTGGACATTTGGCTTACTATACTCACATTCCTTGTTTCATTGACCTCATTCCTTCCTTTCCCCACTATCTGTTTATTGTAAACCATGAGACAACCAACAGGAACTTCACCATTATCCAATGCATCCTGTGCCTGAAAAATAAATAAATAAATAAATAAAAAAATAAAAAAACTGATGTATACGAAATCTCCTCTCCAGCAACAGATCATTCTGCAGTGAATAGTTTTTAACCCCTAAAGGTAAGTTTTGGACTTCCTTTCACCATGGCCATAGCGCACTTTGTGCTTCTTTAACTCAAGGGGTAAAACTGTTTTTGTACAGTTTCACCTGAAGCTGGATAACCGATGCCTCATGCAGTCCTTGCCATGGTTGTAGAATGCATACTTTTTCTCCTGTTTGAGGGGTGGTGATTATCTGAAAGCATTAGCTGACACATTCTCAGCCAATCAAAGCCCACCCACTGAAAGTTACAGTGCAATTATAACCCTGTAAAGCAGAGTAGCATTTAGTCTCTACACTATGCTCATACCATTTGAAAAGCTTTCTCCATCCAGTCTTTCATTTCATCAGTGATTACAGGGGTGTCAACCCCAAGTTCTTTTTGGTCCATTGTTATACAATGTTCACACTGGAAAACAAAACATGATCCAATTGACTAGCAAATAAAGGAATGCCAGTATTATTTTCAACACAGACAGAATACATAAAAACTTAAAACATAGAACCAATCTACAAATGTCTAGCCTATCAACATTTAAGTACATACTCAATAAAAAAAGCTGTTTAGCAATGGATCCAAACTCAAAAGGCAGGCAATTGCTCAGAGCACCTGCATTATAAAGTCTGTGTTTTGAATAAAAGGGGAGAGCTTGAAAAGCTGAAGACAGCAGATCTGCAGCTTTTGCAAGCAATTTTTAGATATACCCATGTCAAGCGCTGCATACAGCTCATCTGTCAATCAAACAGAAAAAACATGGCCCCATTACAGTTTATCTGTCAGTCTGAAGTCACTAAATATGGCCCATGTTGACAGAAAGAAGTATCAAGTATTAATTGAGGGACAGGCTTAAAGGATGTAATGGCAATTTAAAACCTTATTAAGGGATTAATTGGTCTTTAATCCCACTCAGGAAGCTACTGCAGGCAATTACAGTGCAGAAGATAAGAAATTCTAAATTAAACACACTGTGCAAAAAGGAAAGCTAAAGAATTTAGACTATTTGTCAGAAAAGTAGAGGGGGGAGGGGTGCAAGTAACAGCCTTGGGAGGTATGGCTAGGACTGCATAAACAAAATGGCAGAGAATTGATGAATGAGATTACAGGGACATTATTTATACACATAAATCACTTAATTAGCCTAAAATTGCTATGGTGCTTAGTGTCCCTTTAAAAAAAAAAAAAAATGATTACGGTGCTGAGAGTCTCCTATTCAAGAGACCCTGTAAGTGCTTCATCTCATTGAAGTGGTTACAGTGACCTCTGCATGTGTCCTGTGGTACATGGCACCATGACATTAGCAGCAGATCCAAGTCTTGCAAGTTGTAATGTGGGCCCTCCATGGATCTAATTAGTTGTTTCAGCACATCCCACAGATGCTCAATTGGATTGGAATCTGGGGAATTTGGATTCCAGGGCAACACCTTCAACTCTTTGTCATGTTCATAAAACAATTACTGAGCATTTTTTGCAGTGTGGCAGGGTGCATTATCCTGCTGAAAGAGACCACTGCCATCAAAGAACACAACTGACAATCTCTAGGTTTGTGTCAGAGTAACGTACACACAGATGTCAGTACCCAAGGCAGTAGAACACTGCCCAAGTAAAAATGATGCACACCCACCTGATCTAAAAAAAAAAAAATAAATAAATAATTGGAGAAGACTAGGCAACCTTCTTCCATTGCTCCATGGTCCAGTTCTGATTATCAAGTCAAGGCTCTTTTGGCAGTGGACCTTATGGGTACTGTGATTACGCAGTCCCATAAGCAACAAACGGACCAGATGGGCTAGACTTCACTCCCTGCGTGCATCAATGAGCTTTGACCCATGACCCTGATGCCAGTTCACGGGTTGTCATCCTTGCACCACCATTTGTAGATACTAACCACGGCATACCAGGAACTCCCCACAAGACTTTGTTTTGTAGATGCTCTGACTCAGTCGTCTAGACATCACTATTTAGTCCTTGTCAAAGTCATTCTGATCTTTTTGTTTGCCCATTTTTCCAGCTTCCTACACATGAAATTCAAGAACTGACTCTTCACTTGCTGCCCAATATATCCTACACCTTGACTGTTGCCATTGTAACAATATGATTAATGTTATTTACTTCACCTGTCAGTGGTCCTAATGTTTAAGCTGATATGTGTATATTACATTAACAGGCTAGGTCTGATTTGCTTGCACATACCAGATGTATGGTCAATCCAATGTTCTCACTCTCCAAAAATTAAATACCGAATACTCAATGTAACGGATCACCTGGCACCCCAACTGGGTACCTACGTTGAAGGATGCTCCTAGTGCTTCTTGAGGACTCCAAGCACTCAAGCCGACACCACAACCACCGCAGGCCGAACCTCTCTTCCTTCAGAGTGAAGCAGGAACAAGCTCTTACAAGAGCTTAGGAGTGATTACAGCAAGGGAATATGCAGAGCATAGCAATCCCTTGTAGCATGTTCCCCCAATAAGAGACAAGACTCAGACTGACGGTGAAGTAGAACTCACAGAGAGCTGTGAGTTTATTGTTCTTATATACACATTCTTACACATTAGTACCACCCACAGGGTTTTGTAAAACAACCGATAAACACGTACAATAAACTAAGACACTCCCACACAAAATCCTTCCCTCTACCTGTGATACAATTACCTTACACAATGGGTTAATGTAATTATCAGAATTAGCAGAAAAATACAGTTTTACACAATATTCATAACTTAAAAAGTATGCATCACATTCACACAAAACTTACACTTTCAAAATCAGCATACTCCAAAATACAAACATACGTCAAAATCATACAAATTGGTCCAGTGGGTCAAAAGTTAGATCGAAGTCCTTTGTGACCAAATGAAGCATGGCTTTTCTGCCCAAAACCGGTTCCACAGAGTCTTTTTTTTTTTTTACATTCTTTATTTTTGTAATTTTGACATTTAAACAGGAATAGTAACTAGTAGTGATACATTAACGATGCAAATTCATAGCTTACAATGAAATAAACAGTGACCCCCAAGGTCCTAGCTCATATGACCTACAATTCTTTCAGTTGGTCTTGAACGGGTTTTTATGTTTGCTTCAGCTGTTCATCCTAGCTGGATCTGAGCCCCTATCAGACAACTATATGCCCTATCAGCTGGACCTGACCCGGTGTTTCACCTTCTTTGTTCATCCCAGTGGTGGTGATCTTTATATTTAGTGTTATGCTCGGGTGGTAAAAGGGCGGGTGTCAGTGATCTAGCTTACTTGGGTCGTGTGTGGGGTAGGCGCAGGCCTTGGTCCCATCCGCTTTTCGTTGTGGCACTGGGCTGGTCCCCTCGCTTTCACCACCTTAGCCCTTTTGTTATGGTTCAGGTGGATGTGTTGTTATCTAATTGATGGGCGAGCTGCGGGAGCGGGGGATTTGGCATGGAGTATATCTCCCGTGCCCCTGTCTCCGTTTGGCGGGCTGTGTCTACGATCCTCAGGAGGTGGGTGGCTTGGTAATACGTCCCTCCTTTGTGTCTCCGGAGAATAAGTTGTGTTTGTTTGATTCTTGGGGGACCGGCTGCCCATATGAACTTCAGCATTGTGGAGCCGAGTGTACAGAAAAAGGCAGAGATCGGGATGGCTTGGAACAAGTATAGAAGGCGTGGCAGTAAGTTCATCTTCACGATGTTGATTCTTCCAAACCATGATATGCACATGCACCCCCCACCTCTGGAGGTCCGTGCGTAGGGTTTGGAAAATGGGGAGGAAGTTTTCCTGGTAGAGCCGTGTGGGTTCTTTGGTTAGCCAAATTCCCAGATATTTGATACGGTGTGTGCACCATCTGAAGGGGAAGTTCGTTTTCAGTCTGTCCACTGTCTCTGTGGGAAGGGATAAAGGTGGATTTGATATAGTCCCATATCTAGTGAAGGCTGCCAGGAGATTGGGCAGCGAGACCGCTGGGTTTCGTATGAAAAAAAGTCGGCATACGCAGCCACCTTGTGTTCCCGTCCCCCCTATGCCCCCATCCCATGGGGCCGGCCGATCCACGGAAATGGGTCTCCTGCAGGAAGGCCACCGAGGCCCTGGCTGCCCATAAGGATCGCAGCAGATGTGACCTCTGCTCTGGGGCGTTCAGGCCCCTGACGTTGTTAGACCAGAGGCTCAGCGGCGCAGGGGCGTACCCCCCGGGGCCCCAATTCGTCATGCCGGGGGGAGTGCGAGGTGATAGGGTTAGGGTTGGTCGGTGAGCGTTGGTGTCAACTCTTGTTGTCTCTGTATGGAAAACTTAAGAACTATGTACAGTATCAGACTTGACTGTCTAGGGGGACAAGTCCGTGGGGAGCACCCTGGTTCTTACCGTCGTCCTCCTAACCTGACTGTTCCCTCCCCCCAAGCCAGTGAGTGTTGTCAATCTGCTAGTTTTTCAGGGTCTTAACCGGGTTCCGTTGGCCCTCCCCCCTCCGGGGTCCTCAGGCCGTGTGTGACAGGTGTGTGGCCTCAGGTGTGGGGTCTCTGCTTGTGTACTCTGTGGGGGCCGTCTCCCCCCCCTCGTATCCCACCTGGACCCTCCCTGCTGTTTATGTGGCGCCCTCCCCTATACGCTCCCCACGAAGCTATGCTTGGAGAGTGTGTAATAGTGTGTGTGTATCGGGTCGTATCTGTGATAGGGCTTCTACATGAGGGTGTATTCACTATGTTGGGGACTTTATGTTACTGATAAGGGGATTCGGCGTTTCAGGTGCACTGGAGAGGCAGGGTTGGGGTTGATCTTCCAGGTGTATGGTGCGCTATTCTAGTGGCCTATAATTTAAGATTTCCCTGAGGCTACTTCTGGTTTCCCCTTGTCCCCCGTTTTCCCCCCGTCCACTCCTTCCCCCCAATCACCCCTCCAAGCCGACCCACAGTAGAGCACCCCATTTCGCCCGCAAAGTCCTGGGCTCCCGTTTCCTGCCCAAAACCCAGGGTGTTTCTTATCTCTCCCAGTCCCTGCACTAGCCCCGGTGAGAGGAGGGAGAAGTGGGGGGGGGGGAGCAGGGGAGCCCCCGCGGGTCCAGCGACCCGAGCAGTCTAAGTCCAAGTCCCGGCTGTTGCGCAAGCGAGGGCCAGTACGGGAGGGTCGGAGGGCCGAGTCCCCATGTTGTTGGTGAAATCTTGTCACTTCCCACCCCACCTGAGTTAACCTGGTCCCCCTAGGGCGAGGCGCAGACCCAGTCCCCGGTTGTTCCCCAGTACCTTGGGGCCCGGCTGGTCGCCGGACCACTTGCGCTCCTCCTCACCCGGTCATTCTTCCGTCTTGCCGGGGCCACCCCACGTGCGTGGTGTCCGGTCTCCATCTCGCCGTGATGTTGGCTGGCGAGTTGCTCCTTCAGTGTCCTGCCGTGTGGCCAGCGGGGTCTCCAGTAGCCAATTTCGTACCCGGATGTTCGGTAGATGCAGGGCTTGTGGGACGTCGGCGGCCAGCGTATGTGGAGCCAATTATTCCTGTGTCTCACCTGGAGGCTAAAAGGAAATCCCCATTGGTAGGCGATATCTCTATCCCGCAGGGTCGTGGTCAGGGGACTGAGGGCGCGTCTAGCGTCGAGGGTGAGGCTGGACAAGTCCTGGTATAGTGCAACCTGTGAGCCCCTGAACTGGAAGCCGTCAGAGCCCCTTGCCGCCACCATCAGCTTTTCCTTGAGACTGTAAACATGAAGGCAGCATAGTACATCCCGGGGTCGGCCATCTGGCCTCGGCGGTCCCAGTGCCCTATGGACCTGATCAAACTGGATCTCTGGTGGGCAATCTCGACCCAGAATCTCTAGGAAAAGGGCTGTGATCGTGTCGGGCAGGGGGGTTGCATCCGACTCCGGCAGGCCACGTATGCGGATGTTGTGTCGTGTGCTGTGGTTTTTTAGGTCCTCGACCTGGCGCCGGAGGGACAGGAGTAGATTTCCCTGTCGGGTTGTAGCAATTTCCGCCGCCTGGTGTTGTCTGCGGCTCGTCTGGGCTTCAGTTTCAAGGGCCTCCATGCGTACTTCAACCGCTGAGAGATCTGCGCGCAAGGCCGCAATCTTCACACTGACTGCTGTTCGGAGGTCTTGTATGTGGCTGCTGGTGTCCGTCTTCTTTAGCATTTGCCCTGATATCGCGGCCAGCTCCTGTCGGATCAGTGCCAGGGTGTCCTCCCGGGTGCCATCTGCTGTGGAGCTTCCCGCCCTTTCCAGGTCAGGGGATCCGGGCGCCATATTGTCTGCCGGCCCAGAGCCGCTGCGGGTGCCCGGTGTGGACACAAAGTTGTCCATCGTGCCGGTTTGGTGGCGTGGAGAGCCTTGGGTGAGGAGCTTCTTATTGCGGACCATTCTGTCTGGTTTGGTGGCTGGGGAGCTGAGCGTTTTTTGCTATTTAATGGCCGGGGGAAGAGGAGCGCAGTCTTCACATGTCCTTCTCTATTCCCGGTCCGGCCACGTCCCCCACAGAGTCTTCTAACCTGGAGATAATTGGGAAGTAATCCAATTATCTCCAAGGACAGAGGCAAAACTCCATTAGCCACATGGTAGCAAAAGACAATAAAATACATAAATATATATAACTGTGCAGCTATTGCATAAAACAGGTACATTCAACATATCCCCAGATAGCTTAGATCTGAGCGCACATTATTACTGAATGGCGCTCAGATCACATACATACAGTTCAATTGCCATGGAGCCAAAGTCTTTCACATAATCTTTCATTAAACGAATGGGCTCCATGGCATAGCTATCTGGGGTATCACTGTTCAAATAGGGCAAGTACCGAATGACCCGGCTTTCGTGTCTTTGCAGGGGAATATCAAGCATTTCAACATGGGGCCATAGTCACATGGCAGGAGGCTGGCAATCAGTCTTCTCCAATGCCCAGTGGCGAGGCTGGTTCCGCCACACTAAACATTAAGTAACGTGTTCCCACTGCCGGATGTCCTACTCATATTATTTCCCTCATTAGATTTCTTCCAGATGTGTATTAATTGGTTTTGACATTCTGATAACAATGCATTTAGCAGTAGGAGCTGAGCCTGAAATACCCGGCTGCACACTAGCATGATGCTCCAAATCTCTCACAGCATTGTTTGTGCTGATATGTTTGCTGCATGCAGAGTGTATTGTGTGTTTTATGAATGTACTGGGTCATCCTACATGTACCCCCCTCCCCCCGCCATGCCGGGTTAATTACCCTCTCTCTCTCAGGATGCCTGCCTTTTGCTCGCAGAGCGGTCACATGTTATCCCGGAACTACCCAGTGGCTCCTTGTATCCGGGGGGAGCGGTCCGTCTGATCTCGGTGCACCATTTATTACCGTCCCGTGCTCGCGGAAGGCGATTAGCGGCTGAGAGTTGAGTATGGACCTGATTACCGAGCCGTACATCATAACTGACACACTATACACACACAGTGTATTATCAGCCATACATTATACTGGGCAGGCACACAGCCGCCGGTACAGCGGGTACACCGGGAATAGCAGCCTGCACACTGTCAGTCTCCACTATACAGACAGACAGACATGGGACACAGTCCGAGTATAACAATACAATACAGAGTAACACTGCCACACAGAGTAACACTGCCACACACAGTAACACTGCCACACAGACTAACACTGCCACACAGACTAACACTGCCACACACAGTAACACTGCCACACACAGTAACACTGCCACACAGAGTAACACTGCCACACAGAGTAACACTGCCACACACAGTAACACTGCCACACACAGACTAACACTGCCACACACAGACTAACACTGCCACACACAGACTAACACTGCCACACACACTAACACTGCCAGACACACTAACACTGCCAGACACACTAACACTGCCACACACAGACTAACACTGCCACACACAGACTAACACTGCCACACACAGACTAACACTGCCACACACAGTAACACTGCCAGACACAGACTAACACTGCCACACACAGACTAACACTGCCACACACAGACTAACACTGCCACACACAGACTAACACTGCCACACACAGTAACACTGCCAGACACACTAACACTGCCACACACAGACTAACACTGCCACACACAGTAACACTGCCACACACAGTAACACTGCCACACAGACTAACACTGCCACACACAGTAACACTGCCACACAGACTAACACTGCCACACACAGACTAACACTGCCACACACAGACTAACACTGCCACACACAGACTAACACTGCCACACACAGTAACACTGCCACACACAGTAACACTGCCACACACAGTAACACTGCCACACACAGTAACACTGCCACACACAGTAACACTGCCAGACACACTAACACTGCCACACACAGTAACACTGCCACACAGACTAACACTGCCACACACAGCCAACATACAGAGTAGCACTCCCACACAGAGTAACACTCCCACACAGAGTAACACTGCCACACAGAGTAACACTGCAATACAGTGTCAATATACAGAGTAACACTGTGTATCTATTAGACTGCCTTACAAACATCTTGTGGCTGTACGTCTGTCTACATTGCTATATACAGTATTTCGTGTATGGAGGGCACTGTCCATTAACCCCTTAAGGACCAAGGCTCTTTTGGCAGTTTTGTCATGTGTTCATTCTACCACAGTTTCACCCTTTCTGTTTAAAGGGACACTGTAGTCACCAGAACCACTACAGCTTAAAGAAGTTAGAGAAAAGGCAGTGTTTACATTGCTGCCTTGTAATACTGGAGATGCTGAATGTTCCCCATAAAGATGCATTAATTCAATGCACCTCTATGAGGCAATGATTGGTGCAGCATTTTGCCATACATGCGTAATAGCCTTAGCATTGCATTGGCTGAGATCATCAAATTTTATGATCTCAGCCGCGGAGGCGAGCGAGGTGGGGCCAAGCGTGGCGCTTGAAAAAAGGTGACTTTAAACATCTTTTTAAAGGGGGGCAGAGGACCTGAATAGTGATTTTGACACTAGTATCAGGAATACATGTTTGTGTTCCTGACACTATAATGTTTCTTTTAAGTGCACCCATACATATATATATATAATTTGTTAAGGAGAAATATTAATTTCTTATGATATATTATGTATACATATATTTTGATATGTGTACATAACACATTATTAAATATGAATAAAATATTTTAAAAATCTTTCATATTTTAGAATGTCTACACAACAAGTGCAACTGAAGAAAACTATTTTAAAATAGATTTACTTATTTGTCCTGACTGTTATAATGCCCATTATATCTAGGATTTCATTCATTATATATTTTTATAGGTTATAAAATAAAGTTTGCATTGAGTGAATTATAGTTTGAAAACTAAAACATTGTAAAATTTGTCTTGCTGAGAATACAACTTTGTAGTACTCTGTTAGAGCATTCAAAACCACAACACAAAAGTATATATTTGTGGAAAGTACATCCTTGGACTATTTAACTAATAGCATTTTGACACTTTTCATTTAACCATTTTATCATGATCCCCAAACTAAATGTTGTTTTTCTTGTGTGTGTGTGTGTGTGTTTCCCTTCAGATTAGAGGCAGTGCATAGCAACTGGGATATTCTCTAATCTGGAACAGAAAAGGCAGGCAGATACCTAAATTGTAAACTGTTAGACTCCTCCCCATAATCTCCTTCTTTTAGGTATAATTTAGCTGTTAGCAAATCCCCAGTTCTTTACCTGCTTTAAGCAGGAAAATATTGTATAGCAGGCACTCACGATTTTTCTTGAAGGACATTGTGAGTCAGCTGAGGCCGAGGAGAACTCTTAGGACGCTAAGCGGCTCAGTCTCTCTCCTCTGCATACTCAGATGGAACGCACGCCGGGCATCTGTGTTTCGCCTTTTATTACTTCCGTTTAATGCCAAACCGGGTTGTTTTTTCTCATGAGGATAGTCTTAACAGGCTTATCTAGGAAGTACAAAGCCTTATGAAAAATGAGGAGTCCACTAAACACAAAGAAACTGGTAAAAGCAGGAAACCTAAGGCATTTCCAATGCACCCTAATTTGAGAGATCTTTTGCTTAGAGAATGGAAGTATCAATCTAAACATTTTAAAACCATCTTCTCATTAAGGAAGACTGACAAGAAATTGAAGGGATTGCCTAAGTTCGATGTACCTGTTGTGCAACTGGGGAAGAAAACCACCCTACCTATTGGTGATTCTAGTGGTCTCCAGGATTCCATGGATAAGAAAGCAGAATCTTCATTGTGAAAACTGGTTTTAACTACGACGGCACAGAGTAAAGCCCTTATTGGAGGAACATCAGTGGCTAATGCACAACGTTTCTGGCTTGACTCACTAAAAAAAAGATTTATTAGATGAACTGAAACTGTTCATTGTCAAGAAGTTGTTTCGCATGAAGACCATACTTTCTGCCACTCACATTATTCAAACAGGTTTCTAGCTGAGTTCACTCAATAAAGGATGCTTATCTGCACATCCAAAGCAGAAGATTTCAATAAAAAAAAAAATCTGACAGAAGAAAACAAAACAAGTCAGCTCTATTATGGCTGTAACGGATCACCTTGCACTCCCGACTGGGTACCTCCGCCAAAGGACCGCTTCTTAGTTGGACCAGGGGACAAACCATAGCACTTCTTGCCCTCAGTCGCCGTAGCTTGACTGGGGCCCTGGAATCGCCACTTCCCTCCTGGAGCTGAAGGGGAAATTAGCTCTGACACCTCCAGGCACTGAACGACTCAGTTCTGGGAACTCTGGAACCAGATGGGGAATTAGCTCTAGTTACAACTTTCCTCGTTGACTCTCCTGCAAGCTGGAACAGCAGACACAGGAGCAAATCTCCTTTCCCTCCAATAACTGGACGACACTCAGTTTTGGAATGTAAGCAGGAATCTGTTTAATGGGACACACTGGCCTTTTATACAATTTTCCCACCAAGGTTGACACCCAGGTGGACCTTGTGGGGCACAGGACACAAAACATGCAAGCCAATAAAAAACAGTGTAACAATGAATGACACTCCCACATACATTACACAATCCTTCCTCTCTGCCTGCGATACAATTAAGGTATATAATACAATAACCTAATTATCCACAGGCAGAAAAAACACACATTTTCCCCAAAGTACAGAAAACAACCCAAAACATAACATATCCCCATTGTATTACATCGCCTGATAGCCCTGATCTAGGTGAACAACATATCCAAAAATCACCAGATCAGAGCAGGGGTTCAGGAAATTCTCGTTTGACCGACCGCACGCATAATTTCATGCCCAAAACAGTTCCAGAGAATCAGGGCTTGCGGCCGGTCTAGTTTGGTAGTTTGCAAACGAACAAACTACCGAACGGAGTCAATAGTCTTACACTGTAGCTTGTTCCCTTCATCCAGACGAATGATCTCACCGAACAGTGCCCTTTTAAGCTGAATAAGAACGAATGCAGGCGATGATGGAAGTTCAGCGGTTCTGTATCCGACTTCAGTTCCATGAGATTCATGCCCAAACACCGGTGCCTGCATTTATGCAAACAAGATGGCTGCCAGCTCGTGGTTGTTCATAGAAATCGCGGCCACCCAGGCGAACAATCAGAACACTGCGGTAAGAAACGTTCCATGTTGTTAATAGGTGTTAACAAGCTCCAGAGTGGTCTCTGTTTGTACGGTTGTTCGGTAAACGAACCATATAGTCCCAATTGCACAAACAGAGCTTGTTTAAAGTATATTAACCAGTTCTATTGCAGGGGCCATAGTCACAGGGTAAAAGGCTGGCAAGTAGTCCCCTCCAAGAACTCGTGGCAAACTCACTTGAAAACGGGAGTTTGTCACAATGGCTTTAAAAGCAAAAAAGATCTGTTTCATCGGGGAAGCAATGAGGCTTTTAGGTCTCTTTACAACTGCAATTTCAGCAGTAAGCAGGGCAAAGACAAGGATGAGACCTTTACAGGAAAAAAAATTTAAATCGTGGGACAAGTCTAGACCAGATGAAACTCGAGTCTTCAGTTCCATTCACAGGGGTCTTTCATATGAAACATTTTCTGCTAGTCACCACAGTTGCTTCAGACTTGGCTGGGGAGTTCATCTGGGAACACATGTGCAAGAGAAAAATGGAGGCCTCGAGATTCAAGAAAATCATCCACGTATAAGAGGCTAAAAGCCCTTCTGTCATTCAGGCTACATCTCCAGGGACATCGTGTGCAGATAAGAAAGGATAATTCAATAGCATTCGCATGTGTGAACCGACATGGCGGGGCTCGTTCTCATCCCCTGGAAAAGTTATGCTGCAAAATAATGCTCTGGTAAGTAGTCACCTGCTCTCAATATCTTCCATCCACATAAAAGGAGAAAACAATACAATACGTTAGTCGACGCACTCAGCTGGAACCATCTGAAACAAGGGGAATGGTCTTTTTAGCATCACATATTTAGAGAAATAGTGGCAAAATTAGGAACACCAGATATGGCTTCAAAAGCAAACAGGAAAATGAACAGATTTGCTTCTCTCAATTCACAGATTTACTAGATGCACTAGCGATTCCATGGAATTTTTAACTGGCATATCTTTAACCCCAGTTGTTCTGATTCCTCAAATATTACATAAAATCTTATTGGACAAAGCAAGAGCAATTCTTCCATTTTGGCCTCTGAGAAATTGGTTCTCCATTCTTCTGAATATATCCAAAAATGCCTATTGGCAGTTTCCAATTACAGTAGAGATTTTAGAACATGACCTGGTCCTTCTGCAGACTCTCCACACATTCAAACTAATGTATGGTATCTGAATGCAGGATCCTGAGTGCTAAAGGTCTGCCTCTGGAAGTCATAGACATCTTAGTAGCTGTTAAGAAAGATTCCACCTCTACAGCCTACTCTGGAAATCTGGAAGAAATTCTGCTTCTAGTCTTTTTTTAAGGCATCGATTCCTAGTACCCTAAAATTTCTACAGTAAGGATTTTCGATGGTCTATGCCCAGCATCTCTAAAAGTACAAGTAACTGCAATAAGCTTTTTACACTTAGAGACTTAGCCTCAGAGCCCCTGGTATCCAGATTTTCTAAGCAGTGTCCCATCTTCTTCCTACAATCAGGGAACGTGTTCCTCCGTGGGATCCCAATTTGGTCCTTTCAACTTTTGTGAAGCCCCACATTGAGCCTTTGGAAAGGGGGTGGGGCCCTGCGTCTCTATATCTCGTGATCTCCCATTATCCGCCCCAGCTCCTCTCCCAGGCCCCTGGTGGGCTGGCGCGCCCCGCCCCCGGTCGGTCATGTAGATGATCCAAGGGGTCCACAGTTGGGTGCAGCGCTCCTGAGTCCCCCGTAGCTCAGCCATGAGGGTCTCCATCGTGTATGTTTCGTCCACCTTATATATCCATTGTGATATCGTGGGAACGTCTGTCAACTTCCATCTGGCAGGGATCAGACTCTTGGCGGCATTGAGGAAGTGCCTAATTAGAGATTTTTTTGTAGCGTGGTACCGGCATCTGCGTATGGTTGAGCAACATAGGCATGGGTTCCATGGGGATATCTTCGTCTAGGATTTCCATGAGTTTGTCATGGATCTGTTGCCAGTAGCCTGTGATCCGAGGGCATGCCCACCAGACGTGCAGGTCTGTTCCCTCAGCGGCTTTGCATCGCCAGCATGTGCCGTCGGATGTCAGCCCCATGGACCTCAGTTTGGACGGGGTCCTGTACCAGCAGGTCAAGACTTTGTAGTTAAGTTCTCGCATTTTGGTACTTAGTATCCCTTGGTGCGCTAGAATGTGTATCTTCTCCCATTGCTGGTCCGTCAGGACGACCCCCGTAGCCTGTTCCCACTTGGAGTGAAAATGTGCCGGCGCCCCTTGGTCAGCCGCCAAGAGCATTGCATAGAGTGTCGATATTCCACGGGTCAAATGTTCTCCGCTGGAGCAGAAAGTCTCGAATTGCGTGGGGTCTCTGTGCAGTAACTGTTTCCCTTGGAGAGTGGCGTAGTAATGCTTAACTTGGTGGTATCGGAATTGGAGTAGGCCTGTGGGCCTGGTTTGTGCTGTCAAAGCAGTGTATGTTTTCATTTCTGTCCTGGTACACCACGCCCAGAGGCACTGGGCCTCCCTCCCTCCAAAACCTTCCACGTCCCGCATTCGCAGTCTGTCAGCCAGGTCGGGGTTGTGTATTACCGGTGTCATGGGCGCGGGGTAGGTCGTGAGCTGCAACTTGTAGCGGATGGTCGACCATATCCTCAGTGTCGCCCCAATAAAGGGGTGGTTCCTGAGGTCCTGGTCTCGCATCGGGGCCCGCGTCCATACCACCAGCGGGATCCGTCCCCTCGCCCACGTCCGTTCCAGCTGAACCCATTGTTTGTGCGTGTCCGACACATGCCAATCGATGACGCGGGAGAGATGGGAGGCCTGGTAGTATCCCTGTATAGATGGTAGTCCCGTGCCTCCACGGTGCTTCGGAAGGATAAGCTGCGCCCTCCTCACTCTCGGTGGGCCCGACGACCATACAAATTTCAGTATCGCGGAGCCCAGGGACCTGAAGAAGGCTTGTGGGAGAAGTCTGGAACAGATACAGCAAGCGTGGTAGCAAGTTCATCTTCACTGCATTTATCCGTCCAAACCATGATACACAGAGCTTCCCCCAGCGCGTCAAGTCCATTTGAAGTGTGCGGAGGATGGGGAGAAATTCTCCTGGTAGAGCCGATTCAGGTCCTTTGTCAGCCAGATCCCTAGGTATTTTAGTCGTTGTGGGCACCACCGAAAGGGGAAGCGAGCCTCCAGTTGTTCCACCTGCCTGTGTGTCAGAGATATGGGGAGAGCTTCCGACTTTGTCGCGTTAAGTTTCAAGTTTGAGAGTGCTCCAAACGCATCGAATGCCGAGAGTAGGTTAGGTATCGAGACCAGTGGGTTTCCTATAAAAAAAGAGGAGATCGTCCGCGTAGGCCGCTACCCTATGTTCCCGGCCGCCCTGGGTGATCCCCGTAATACCCCCATCCCGTCTGACCGCCTCCAGAAATGGTTCCAGAGAGAGGGCAAACAGGAGGGGGAACAGGGGGCACCCCTGCCGGGTCCCGTTTTTTATCTCAAACGTCGGGGAGAGGACTCCGTTGATCCGGAGCTGGGCCCTCGGGGGTTGCCTTAATGTTAAACACATTCTGCAGTGTCCTTTTTGTCACTTTGGCAGGTTGTTTGTCTATTTCAAAGACAGAAGAAGGGTCTTATGGCATCTAAAGGTTCCCTAACGAGATGGATTAAGGAAGCAATTACAGACACTCCTCACTTACCGACCGGTTTCCGTTCCTACAACCAAGTGAAGAGTTAAGGGATTCTCTGCTCTGGTGTACATGTCTGTGTTCAGGGAAGAGTTAAGGGATTCCCCACTCTGGTGCGCATGTCTGTGTTCAGGGACATTTCCCCCTTATATAGACTAACGCACAAGAGCAGGGAATCCCTCCAATCTATGCTCGGTGAAATTTCCCCGAACATAGATTAGAGGGATTCCCTGCTCTGTTGCGTTCTATGTTCGGGGAAATATCCCCGAACATAGAAGAACGCAGCAAAGCAGGGAATCTCACTAATTCCCACGACAGCTTGCTTTTTCCACCCCGCAAGAGAGCTGGTTGTAAGTGCAAGCCGTCGTAAAACAGGTAGGTCGCAAAACGAGGACCACCTGTATTTTATAAGTCTTCTAATGTTCCTCCTCCTCTTAAATTGAAGGCGCATTCCATAAGGGTGATTGCTGCATCATGGACTTTCAGCAACTCGTTCTCAAATTTGCAAAGCTGCTACCTCAATGTCTCCACACCTTTTCAAAGCATCATCAGTTAGACATACAGGCCTCTGAGGATTCTATCTTTGGGTGGAAGGTGGTACAGGCCGTGGTAAAATTATGTCTTTTTGCCTTTAAGGAATTGCTTGATTATTCCAGTTCTGCACTGCCTCTAATCTGAAGGGAAAAGCTAAAATTGTATTTACCGTTCATTGTTTTCCCCCATACGATTAGAGGCAGTTCACTGATTTTCCCACCGTATTTAATATATTGTAGTTTCTTGGCTTGTGTATTTTCTGGGGTTTTGCTAACAGCAGTTTAAGTTATAACTAACTGATTAAATTTTAGGTGTCTGTCTGTCTTTTTCCAGTCCAGATTAGAGGATATCCCAGTTGTTGTGCACTACCTCTAATCCTAGGAAAAATACATTTATTGTAAGTAAAATTTCATGCTGTGCAGCTGGCAAAGTCCTTCACTGGTCAGAGGAGAATGCATGGAGACCTCACCATGGTCTGAAAAGAATAGGGTCTATTTAGAATATGTGGGTCTCCCTCATACTAGATGTACACTCAGAATCACCATGACTGAGCATTAAACGGCCTTGTGCAGTGCTCACTATGAGCTCAGCGCATACCTCTTCTGTCAGTCTGAGGTCACTAAGTGTGGTCCAAGCAGATAGAGTAGATGCTCAGGTATTGAAAGATACCAGGGGCTTTCTGTATTAAGATAAGGGCATACTCAGAATTATTGTGGCTGTGCACATTTGCTCAACTGCGATATTTAAATAGATTTAAAGGGTTCTGCAGATAGCTCATCTGCAAGTCTGGGGCCACTAATTGTAGCCCTAACTAACAGAGTGGATCCTCCGGTATCCAAGGGTGGCCAAAATGTAGATTCCCATCTGTCAAACTCCCACAATGCAATGCCAGATGCAAATTTACCATTTGCCCATCCTTGCAGGGTTGTATGTGTGAACAGTGTTTGTGCATTTGAAAGTAAGCATGTGTTTGTATACTGTTGTACTGTTGCCATTGGAATGCAGTGGTGTACTTGTGTGTTGAGTTATATTTGAATGCAGGGGTGTGTTTGTATGTGCTGTTGGCTTTTAAATCAAGGTGTACTTTTGTGTGTAGTGTTGATGTTTGAATGAAGGAGTGCTTGTATAAAATTTTAGCATTTTTTTTTTTTTTGAATATTTAATCTTTATTTTAAATTTTTTTCTTTTACATCTCATTAAATACAAATATCATACAAATACAAATATCATACAAATATACATTTGTAATACAAACAAACAACACAGCAGCAAAATAGGGGAGGGAGAAGAAAAATACATCAGAAAGACTTCCATAATACAGTGGTAATATCATTTAGATAAATCTCATAATTATTTGCAGTGTTCATGGAATTGTTCTACTGTTAATTGAACGACACTATTTTATACATCAATCATCTCAATACACTTTAACCAAACAGAAATCTTATTGCTTAGTCTTTGTTTACTTAGCATCAGCTCCATTCTAATCTGAAACTCGAGTTGAGTTTTAACTTTCTTCCAGGGGACTTCTAAATCCTTTTTCCACCATCTCGCAATTACTATTTTAGCCGCTAAAAACAGATGTATAAGGATTGCTTTTAATTCATATGTCATATGAGGCCAATTTAGATGAAGTAGAACTACCTCTGGAGAGATAATCAACTCGAGTTTTAAATTGTTAGATATAAAATGCTGCATTTTCAACCAGAGATTTTTTAATTTATAGCAATCCCACCAAATATGTCTAAAATTGCCTCTAATACTATTGCATCTCCAACAGATAGGATTTACTAGAGGGTAAATTTTATTCAATTTAGCTGGTATTAAGTACCACCTATTTAAAACTTTAAAGTGCGTTTCTAATAAATTTAATGAATGTATATTCTTCTTAACATCCATCATTGAAGAACCCCATTGATTCAGATTTATATCGATATTCAAGTCTTGTTTCCAAGCCTGTATGGCAGTAGGATTTGTGTCTTCAGCTATTGATTTAATTAGTATTAGAGCTTTAGAAAGTGGTTTATTAACTTTTTTTGATGTAAATAATAAATCTATCGAATTGCTTAAATTAGATTTTGGTATTATTAGATGTGTATTTATATAGCTTTTAAGTCTTAAAAAATTAAACACCTCTCTAGGAGGGAGATTGTGTATCTCTGTTATTTGAGCAAAGGTTTTAATTAATCCTTCTGTCAATAATTGGTCCAGAGTCGTTATCCCTACTTTTTTCCAATTATTTAAGTTTAAGTCTTCCACTTGTTTTTCTACAATATCTAACTCTAAATAACTTGGAACTTTTTTTTCTATATTCATTACTTTTTTAATTTTTAACCAATTTTCCAGTAATTGAGTTAGAATAATACTGGCATATTCTTTTTTCTTTGGCATTTTATTTATATTCCAGATTAAACAATCTAAGCTAGAAACTTCTCCTGCCTTCAATTCCATTTTATACCATCCCTCATCTTTATTTTCTTTCATTTGCATTCTATAGACATGTAGGGTAATAGCTGCTTTAAAGTTATTCATTATGAGTGGATAATCAAGTCCACCTTTATATATTTTCTGCGCTAATATTGACTGTTTCAATCTCGGCTTCTTGCCTTTCCAGATGTATTGAGTAAAACTTCTTTGTATTAATTGAAGCCAATGGATTGGGATATGTAGAGGTAACATTTGAAACATATAATTCCACTTTGGTATAACATATGAATTGATAACATTTATTCGCCCCAAAAAAGTAATCTCTAGGTTTCTGCGATCTTTTAACCATTTATTGAGATCTAATAATAATGTTAGGAAATTTACTTCCATAATCTTATTTGTCTCTCTGGTTATTTTAATTCCTAAGTAATCCATACTTTCTTTAACCCAAATAAAATCATATTTGTTTTTAATCTCTCGTTGTATTCTTTTATTTAGGTTAACATCTAGTATCAAGGATTTATTTATATTTAACTTATAGTTTGATATGAAGCTATATCGCTCTATTTCTTGCATTATGCGTTCCAAAGAATTTTTAGGGTTTGTAAGAGTAATTAAAATGTCATCAGCATATAAGCTAATTTTTTGATCCTCATCCATTATTTTATAACCATGGATCTCTTTATTATTCCTAATATTCTCAGCCAATGGCTCAATAGTCAACAAGTAGAGCAATGGTGAGAGGGGACAACCCTGTCGGGTACCATTTCTAAGTTGGAACCATGGGGCGACTATATTAGGTCCAATAGTTCGTGCAACAGGATTTACATATAGTGCCATTATAGCTTTCTTAATCCAACCTTCCAATCCATAATGTTGTAAAACGGCTTCTAAATATTTCCAGCTGACTCTGTCGAATGCTTTTCCAGCATCAATCGACAGAGTCAGAACTGGAACATCATATCTATTTGCATCATCCAAGATATTAATAATTTTCCTTATACTTGTATAGGAATTTCTACCTGGAACATATCCTATTTGATCTTTATGGATGATTAGTGGAAGAAGTTTTTTTATTCTAGCAGCCAAAACCGAAGCGTATAACTTAGTGTCAACATCTATTAAAGATATCGGACGGTAGTTTTTGATATCAGTGGGGTTTTTATCATTTTTTAGAATAGGCAAGATATTAGCTTTTAGCATCTCTGCTGGTAAAAATCCTCTGTTTGCCGCTATGTTAAAAGCAGAGGTCAAATGTGGACATATTAAATCTTTAAATGTTTTATAAAATAGGTTGCTAAACCCATCCGGGCCTGGTGTTTTAGATTTTTCTAAATCATTTATTGCTTTCATAGTCTCCTCCATAGTTATAGGTTTATTTAAGAAATCATTTTCAATAGAAGTTAATTGAGGCTTCTTTATATTATTTAAATAGTTTTTAATATCCTCATCTGTATTAATCTGAGGAATATTGTATAGATTGGAATAATATTCATTAAAACACTTTCCAATCTCTCTGGGGGTTAGTGCTATTTTTCCATTCTGTATTATTTTGTCTACCTTATTTTGTACTTTTTGTTTTCTAAGTTTTTGGGATAGCATCTTTTCAGCTCGATTGCCTTTGGAATAATATTTAAATTTTAGTCTAACCATATTTTTAGCTATCGTGTCCATTAATTTTTGCTTTATTTTTTCTTTAAGTTCTAATATTTTTTCATAAATTTCAGAAGATGGAGATTGTTTATTGATATTAGTCAAATCTCTTAATTTTGTATGTAAAAATGCCAAAGTATTATTTTTATCAAGTTGGCTTTGTAACTTGATAATATGACCTCTTATAACGGCCTTAAAGGCACACCACAAAATAGATGAATCAATATTTTCTGAGATATTTTCTTTAAAATAATTTTTTATATTATCTCTTATATGAGTTTTTTTTGATTCACAACAAAGCAAATTATCTCTTAACCGCCAAGTATAAGCTTCTCTTTTAAATGTACTAAAAATCATTTCACAAAAAACTCCATCATGATCTGTCCATACTATCTCGTCAATCTTTGTTTTTTTGGTCATATCAATAATACTTGGGTCGACCCAAATCATGTCTAATCTTGAATAGGAAAAATGCACTTTAGAAAAATGCGTATAGTCTCTCTCATTAGGATTAAAAATTCTCCAAATATCAAATAGATTATATTCATCTTTAATTTTTTTTAAGGCTTTTGCTTGTTTTATAACCATCTGATTTAAAATATTTCCTTTCATTAATTTTTTATCTATCTGAGGGTCTAGTACAGCATTGAAATCCCCCGCCACTATTAACTTTCCCACTTTAACTTCATCTACTTTTTCCAGAATTGTTTTTAAATAAGCAACTGGTAAATGATTAGGAAGATATATATTACATAATGTAAAAAGTATAGAGTCAATTTTGCATATTATTATTAAATACCTGCCTTTAGTGTCTTGTATTTGATGAATTACTTCAACTTTAATCTTTTCTCCAAATACCACAGCTACTCCACATTTTTTTTTTCCTTATTGGAAGCTTGAATTATAAGTGGAAATCTTTTACCCCCCCAATTTTGTTTATCCACTTGTCTCCAGTGAGTTTCTTGTAGGAATATTAAATTCAATTGTTTTTCACTGAGGTATTTGTACAATAGATTTCTTTTCGCTATAGTATTCAATCCCTGAACATTAAGTGTAAGCATTTTTATCATATTATTTTCAAAAACCTCCCTGCATCCCTTTCCACTCGATAACCATTGCCCTTCCCTATTGCTGCATAAACATATCTACACAAACACATAGAACAAAATATTAAAATCATAGGAGGAAATCCTCCTTTTTTATCACAAAGACTGTAAATTTTCATATAGAAATTCAGTCTTTACTGTGTCTTTAAATTAGACACTAAGTGGGCGTATCCAGAAAGAGGTAGTAATATTTACAAGTTTGCAATCTCTCTCCAAGAGGGAGAGAGAGAGAAGAAAAAAAAAAAAAATTTTCTTCCATTATTTTATACTTAAATCAGTTACTCTGTGATTCTTTACTTTAAATAAATCTATTTCCACTTAACTTACTAATACATGTGAATAATTTTCTTTTAACCACCTCGTTAAGTTCAAATCTAATTAATATCAATACTTAGACATATTTGCTTTTAAATCCTTATGTTCCAAGTGCTTGTGTGCATATACTTAATTCTCAATTGACTAGTAGCTTTAAAATGAAAACAAGCCCCATTAACATCAACAAATTAGCAAATTGTGCAAAGCACAATTAAGTAATTCTATATGAGTGGAGAGAAAAAAAATAAAAAAAAAAAAAAAAAAATTCTTCCATTATTTTATACTTAGATCAGTTACTCTGTGATTCTTTACTTTAAATAAATCTATTTCTACTTAACTTACTAATACATGTGAATAACTTTCTTTTAACCACCTCGTTGAGTTCAAATCTAATTGATATCAATACTTAGACATATTTGCTTTTAAATCCTTATGTTCCAAATGCTTGTGTGCATATACTTAATTCTCAATTGACTAGTAGCTTTAAAGTGAAAACAAGCCCCAATAACATCAACAAATTAGCAAATTGTGCAAAGCACAATTAAGTGATTCTATATGAGTGAAAAAAAAAAAAAAAAGTTAATTTTCTTCCTCTTTCATTCCTTCCTCTCTCCCTCCTCTCTCTTCTCCTCTCTTCTCTCTTCCTTCCATCTTCCTCTCCGCCGCAACAGACCCTTCAAGCTTTTTTATTAATACTTGATAACCAACTATTTGCTTCATTTGCATCCAAAAAAATTTTTCTTTCTTGTTTCCAAGTAAATCTTAAAGATGTTGGATAGGCCCATTGAAACCTGATCTCTGCTTTTCTTAAAAAATCCGTCACGATAGAGAAAGATTTCCTCCAAGTCCTGGTATGATAAGATAAGTCTTGCAAAAAAAATTATGTCTTTGTAAATAGAATTTGTTCGGGGTTTGGTACGGCAGGCTTTCATTAAATTGTTTCTCAATGATAATGAGGAAAAACTCACTATTACATCTCTTGGGAGATGTGGAGCCGTTGTATCTGGTTTATGTATCCGGTGAAAATTTTCTATTTTATATTCATCTGTAGGTATTTCTGGTAAAACTTCTTCAAATAAATTGTTTAAATATTCTCTCAATTTTTCATTGGAGATTTCTTCAGTAACACCTCTTACTCTGATGTTTCTTTTTCTTGACCTATCTTCCAAAGCTGCTGTTTTAATTTCAAGATTATCAACTTTGTTTACTAGAAACTGCACCTCCGTATTAATTGCTTTAATTTGCGTTCCAAACACTTCACATTTTTTTTCAACTTCCACCACTGATACTGCAACATTTTTAATTTCTTGTTTTATCTCATTGAAACTTACAAGCATTTCTTGTTTCAATAAATTTAATTGTAGTTCCAGCGTTTGCTTAAATTGATCTTGGATACTAATTGAAGCAATTGCTTGAGCTTCTGATGGAAATTGATTGAGTGCAACTTCTTGGATAATATTGGAAGTATTACTTGGGTGTGTCTTACTATCAATTATCTGTTCCTGCGGATCTTTAATAGGATCTTTAATAGGAGTTGCAAAAAAACCTGACAACCTCTTTAAATTTTAGCATTTTTAACACAGGAGTGTGTTTGTATGTAATGGTTGTGTTTGATTGCACCAGTGTGTTTTTATGTAGTGTTAGCTTTTAAATTGCAAAACTACTAACTTCTTTTAGATCCAAATATATCTTAGCATTTCCCAGAGATTCCATCTCATATCTTGCATTCATCTTTCATTTACAGGTCTCCATACTGTAGACATGCTTTCTGTATGGAACTTCCTGAAGCGGCATAAGAAGAAGTTTATCTTTGTTGGTGCATTTGCTGGTGGTAAGTTATGTGTCTTGCTGATGTCATCCCTTTCAAACTTATGTCTCTAGATTCCAAATTCTACTACTTTTATAGGTATACTGCACTGATCATAGCTTCAGTGTTCGTCACTATGTATTCTCATAAGTTCAGACAGTAAGAAAATAGTAGATTCATTTTAGCAGCTGAGAGAGAAAGATCACACTGCCCAGAGTGCTCATTCTGTGCTGTGGGGAAGTCCATCTGCTGATAACAGCAATGGCATATGTTGGGGGAATACCTCTGCCAACAGCAGAAATCTACAGTTAGTTGTAGAACATGTGTTTAGGACTAGGGTTAAGAATGGGTTAGGATTATAGGACTAGTGTTTATTTTTTTAAGGTTAGAGAGATATAGGATTGTGTATATATAATATTAAAAGAAAATGGTAATAAAAACTATGCCTACTACTGGTCATGAAGAGTTTAAAATATTTGTTTCCCCCCTCCCTCCATGTTCAAGAGACTGCAAATTATATGAAAAGAGAGTTGCTTTCTCTGTTTAAATGTTTATGTAACTGCATTAATAGTAAGTAATAACATTTTACTATTACTTTTTTATTCAGGTGTTTATCTTCTTGGAAAGTATGCACAGAAGAAAATCCGAGAAATACAAGAAAGAGAAGCCGCAGAATACATTGCTCAGGCACGAAGACAATATCATTTTGAGAGCAACCAAAGGACATGCAACATGACAGGTTAATATGATATATGAAAGGATTTGTTCATGCAATATGGAAATGGAATAAAGAATAAGATGTTTATTACATCAGTCGACTTTAGGAGGGTAGACCCAGTAGTGAGGAGATTAAGTCATGACAAAACAATTTTTGTAATTTGATATTACTTGAGGGATTATTTTAACTTCTTTATGAAGCATACTGAACTCAAAGAATGGGTTTCTGCCAGCAAGAAAAATAGCTGTGATTGGGAGTAGTAGCTTCATTCATAGAAAATAATGAATCTACTCAATATCACATGTATTTCTCAGGTGCCTGGTGTGCCACTCTAGAGAGGATTGAAAAAAAAATGTAATTTGTGTTATTATTGCTGAGATTAAGGTTTCACATCATATTCAAATAATACAATATGGTCTCCCTTTTTGGTAGTGCATTGTGGAGTCAGTGGTCAGAAAAGACACTTTAAAGATTTATTCGTGTGCTATAGGAATTTCAAGGTAGATGTGACTTCTGAGCCAGTTTTAGTTCTCCCCAATATTGTAATGGGAAAGCTGTGCATATCCCCATGTGTTTATGTGATGTATGTTTTAGTTGTCAGTGTTTTTTTTTTTTTCTTTTATGAAACAAAATAGTCATTAAGCTAATAGCAGCCTGTGCAACTAGCTTTCTTTTTGTATTTGCATTAATTTAGTTTTACTCTGCCATGTGTTCCTGCTGCTTAGCTGTCTTAAAAGTGCATAGTACTTCGTACTGCCAAAGAGCAAGAGAGTGTGGATATATAGGCCCATTGCCTGAATTGTTGTAGTTCTCATGAATAGCATAAAGGGGGACATTGCTGAGGTTAGGTACCTACAGTGAGGAAAAAAAAAAAGTATTTGATCCCCTGCCGATTTTGAACATTTGCCCACTGACAAAAAAAATAAAAAAAAATGATCAGTCTATAATTTTAATGGTAGGTGTATTTTAACAGTGATAGACAGAATAACAAAAATAAAAATCCAGAAAAACGCATGTCAAAAAAGTTATAAATTGATTTGCATGTCAATTAGTGAAATAAATATTTAATCCCTTATCAATCAGCAAGATGTCTAGCTCCCAGGTGTCTTTTATACAGGTAACGAGCTGAGCACCTAAAGGGAGTGCTCCTAATCTCGGCTCGTTACCTATATAAAAAACACCTGTCCACAGAAGCAATCAATCAGATTCCAAATTCTCCTGTCCAAGGAAGTCAGGGACAAGATTGAAAACCTACACATAGCTGAAATGGGCTACAAGACTATCGCCAAGCAGCTTGGTGAGAAGGTGACAACAGTTGGTGCGATTATTCGCAAATGGAAGAAACACAAAATAACTGTCAGTCTCTCTCGGTCTGGTGCTCCATGTAAGATCTCACCTCATGGAGTTTCAATGATCATGAGAACGGTGAGGAATCAGCCCAGAACTACACAGGAAATATAAAGCAATTATAAATACAAAGGCTTTAAAAATAGAACACATTGGTTTTTCCACAAGAGTTAATTTAAGTAGATTTATAATCAAACTGATTAATCCAAAAGGGTAAATGGAAAAGTGAAAGCGAAAGGGAAGAAAGAGAGGAGGAAAAGGAAAGCGAAAATGGAATTGAAAGAAGGGTAATCCAATCATCCTTGAAATTTGAAACTCACATTTAAAAATGGATTATAGACTTCATATAAAATTCACAATTAGAACATATTTATTTAAACTTTCAAATCACCGTCTCCCTTTTGTAATACGGTTATGTTCTAATCTATCCTCCTTCTGAGCATATATGTATATGTTGGTGATCTCCTGTTTGACTCCCCCTAAAACTATACGATTACGCACCCCCAAGAGAGTCTTCCTTGTTAAGGGTCACAAGACCGTTGTTTCCATTATAATGCATTTTTTTAGAATGAGGGTTAATGCATTTGCCAAGGCCTCTGGGGAATATAGAGACTTGGCGGTTTATGTGATGTTTTTTGTTGTTTGTCATGTTTAGTAAAAGTTTATTGTTCAGCCATATATAGATGCGTACATAAAGCGGTCGGAGGAGAGAGATGGGAGGGAATTATAGGCTTAATGGTTAAATTTTATCATTGAACATTCAGCGATTGAATTCCCCAACAAAAGGTCACTGATTAGAAATGTACTTCGTATAGAGAAAATAGATTTGCATGATCCAAGAGACGCACTGGTTAACAAAAGATCTTGAAAAAATTAAATTTCAGGGCTATACGATATTAGCAAATTCCTCATTGACTGATGAAAAAAAAGAGGGACCTCTAATTTAGTTAGTAATGCATTAACAGTGGAAACCTTATACCAATAAAATGATTTAGAAGCTAGATATAATATTATGATATGTAGAATAAATCAACAAACATTGACCCTGATAAATGTCTATGCCCCTTCTAAAGAACAGGTAAAATACCTTGAACAAAATGATAGATACGGTAGATATATTTAGAAAAGGACCGGTTATCTGGGCTGGAGACTTCAATACGGTAATAGAACCTTGTATAGTTCTGTATTGTCTCGAGAGGTAATCAGACAAGCCCAAAATTTCAAGAAAGTTGTTAAGTAAAATGGCCTCCATGATGTATGGCGCATCTTCCATCCTGATAAATGTGATTTTACCTACTGGTCAAGAGCACACAATTCTTATTCTCTGATAGAGATCTAGTCTCGTGTGAAACAATACTTTTACAAGATCAACAAGATAGGCATTATTGAAGTAACATGGTCTGACCATAATGCTATCTTCTGGAACTTAAAGGATGGGATGGAGGAGAAACCTCGTACATCATGGAGTCTTAATGATACTCTTAAATTCTGAAGAAAATTGCAAATATTTAAAAGAAATAACAAAGGTTTGTTTTTTTTACAAAAAAATATAACCCCAGAAATCTCATTTGAAAAAATATGGTGCACATGTAAATGTGTTGTTAGAGGGCATCTGATTAAAATAGGTACTAGAATCAAACAAGAACAGGACCAAACCTTAGCAGACCTATATATAGCACTCTCAAATGTGAGACAAATAAAAAGAATCCTACTGAATTATCATCCTGTAAAATCGGCAGCCTTAGAGAAAAAATAAATCAAAGATTGTTGGACAATATAAAGTCCAATCTAAAGAAGATTAATCAGATCTACTACTCTAAAAGAAATAGGGCAGACAAAATTTTGACGGCTAAGTTAAAAAAAACAGACAGCTAAACAAAGAATATATAAAATCTCCAACAAAGATGAAACCATATATTCTCCCCAGAAGATCGGAGAAGCCTTTGGATCCTTCTATGAGGCAATGTACAATTTAAAAACCCCTAATACAGATCTAGAGATTCAAAAATATTTTGAAAAATGTGGGTTACCATCTATCACAGAAGATCAGATTAGAGATTTGAATAAACCGAAAACAGAAGATGAGGTTGGACTAGAAATAGATAAAATAAACAAAAATAAAGTTCCTGGGCCAGACGTATTCTCGGGATCCTTTTATAAAATAATGAAAGCTGATTTAGGCAAATATAGTAAACTATTTAATGGTTTCACAGAAAAAGGTGAAATAATTCCAGAACTACTCAAGGCAAATATTATACCAATTTTAAAATATTTTCAGCCATCATATCTGATAGATTAAAACCTATAATTCCTTCTCTAATCCATATTAAACAAGCAGGCTTTGTTAAAGGGAGATATCCCTTAGACCAGGGCTTCCCAAACTTTTATGGGCCGAGACCCACTTTTCAAAATGGTAATTTTTCAAGACCTACTTGCTTTTAATGCGTATTTTAAAAAGTGAACACCATGGCAATCAGCTTCAGAGGCGTACTATTGGCATTCCATGGCAATCAGCTTTACAGGCATACAATTGGAACATTATGGCAGCGTTAGATGCATAAAATTGGCACACTATAGCAATCCGCTTTAGATGCATACAATTGGCACACCGTGGCAATCAGTTTTAGAGGCACAAAATTGGCACACCATGGCAATCCGCTTTAGATGCATACAATTGGCATACCATGGCAATCAGCTTTAGATGCATAAAATTGGTACATCATGGCAATCGGTTTTAGAGGCATACAATTGGCATATCATGGCAATCACTTTTAGATGCATAAACTTAGCATATCATGGCAATAAGCTTCAGAGGCATACAATTGGCACACCATGGAAATCAGCTTTAAAAGCATATAATTGGCACACCATGGCAATCAGCTTTAGGTGCATAAAATTGGCATGACATGGCAGTTTTAGAGGCATAATTTTGATATATCATGGCAGTTTTAAAGGCAGAAACTTTGCACATCATGGCAATCAGTTTTAGAGACATACAACTGCTTACTCACACACTCAGAATCAGAAGTGCTGTTGTCCTGCTCTTTCATCCAGGCACCTCAGTTGATTATCCCAGTGGTGGAACTAATGTAGAGAGGACCCTAGTGCAAGTACGTATCTAGTGAAAGTGTGGCCAAAAGGTAGATCCCCATCTATCGGAGAACTTCAACAATAATATGCCAGATGGAGATCTACCATTTGCACATCATTGCAGGGTTATATTTGTGAGCAGTGTTTGAATGTAAGCATGTTTTTGTATTAAGTATATGTGTGCATGTATGGGTGTATTTGTATGTACTGTTGCTATTGGAATGTAGTGGTGTACTCCCTGTGGGCAAAGAGTTACAGGGGTTACGGGGGGGGTAGGGGGACAACATGTACAAATTAAATGAGTTGTTCTGCATCCATGGAGTCTTGCTGTTTATTAAAAAAATATAATCCTAAAATATACATATCTATCAAAATATGAAAAAATGAAATACTTTTTCCCCCTCACTGTATGCTAATATTTAAAGAACCAGTACTGGCTTCTTTTTCTTTAAATGAACAGTCATACTTAATTTATATTGTGTCTGACAGAACAAATCTAATGATAATTTTCATGAATTTCATTGTAAATGTGGCATTTACTCACTGAATCTTGCTCTGTAAAATTTTATGTCAGCAAAGAATTAAAAGCTGAATAGAAATTGCTAGCTACCAGATACTATAAGTCTCATTTCATTTTATTGATGATTTCTACATTTTGTATTTGCTTTCTATCAGTGTTGTCAATGCTACCAGCCCTGAAAGAAGCATTGATGCAGCAATTGAACTCTGAGAGCTTAACCAGCCTGCTGAAAAACAGGTAAATAAACAAACATGCATTATTTGTTATTGTCACACCCCATATGTAATGAAGTCTCTAAAAAGCTATATATGTTAAATCCCAATATTTATTTAGCTAGTCAATTTTACCACTGTTCCATCTGGCAGAAAAAAAAAAAAAAACCACAAAGGTATTTTGATGCATTATTGAGATCGTGATTGCATCTCTGTGGCATGCTCATGGTGTCATAGAAAAAACAATTTACAGTTTAAGGAAATCTAAAGAGACATTAACAGTATTTCCATCTTTTTGAAGGGTGACTACACTTGCAGTGTTATTTACTTGGCTTGGACTTGATCTTTTCTTGTGTAAGCTTTGGAATAGCTAACTGAACTTTGTTACCCTAAAACATATATAATGACACTAAATACAAACAGAATAAATGTATTCTATCTAAACAGCTTTATCACATAAATATATAAATCTGGTAAATTACATTTGAACCAATATACATATATCATTTTCTAAAACCAAAACAAATTCCTCCATACTGGATATATTCACTCACACAGCTGTGTTGACATTAGTATCCGTTTACAATGGACTCTCCTCGGAGATGTGCATGAAGTGAGACTCTTGCATTGTCCGTTCAAATCAAGCACCTAATGAGTCAGAACTTTTTATAGAACCTTCGATTTGACTCTCATTAAGAGGAGTCTGCAGTCTATTAAGAAACTATAGGTCTTTTTTGGATTTTCTACTCATTCAGATCAATCAATGCACTACGACCACAACTTATTATAGTAGTTGTGATGCTAGGACGCTACAGTTGCTTTCTCTCCAATTTTTTATGTGTTAGAAGGATTTGGCCAAGCCAGATTACTAATAATCCATTTGGCACAATTAAAGGGATACTATAGTCACCAAAACAACTTAATCTTAAAAGACCACTATAGGCACCCAGACCACTTGAGCTCAATGAAGTTGTCTGGGTGCCAGGTCCCTCTAGGTTTAACCCTACAGCTGAAAACATAGCAGTTTCAGAGAAACTGCTATGTTTACACTGAGGGTTAAGCCACCCTCTAGTGGCTGTCTCACTGACAGCCACTAGAGGCCGCTTCCACGATTGACTGTGAAAATCACAGGGAGAAAACGCTGAGTGATGCTTTCCTATGGGCGGTTTGAATGCTCGCGTGGCAGGAGGAGGAGAGGTCACCAGGAACTCAGCGCTGGAGAAAGGTAAGTGGCTGAAGGGGTTTTGACCCCTTCAGCCCAGCGGGAGGGGGGCAATGAGGTTGGGGAGGGACCTAAGATATAACATAGTGCCAGGATAACGAGTTTGTTTTCCTGGCACTATAGTGGTCCTTTAATGAAGCAGTTTTGTTGTATAGAATATGCCTGTGCAGTCTCACAAAACAAAAAGGTTTCATTTTTAATCAAATGTAACTTATTTTAAAAGTTTTTCATCTCATGTTCTGTAAATTGAACTTTAATTATATACAACAGGCACCTTATTTGCAATTAAGGAAGTTTAAACATTGACTCTTTACAGCAAGTGTTTAGGAAGGTTGTGTAAGTCACATGCAGGGAGGTGTGTCTAGGACTGCATGAACAAAGTGATTTAACTCCTAAATGGCAGATAATTAAGCAGTGAGACTGCAGAGGCACGATCCATACACCAAAACTGCTTTATTAAAGTAAAGTTGTTTTGGCGAATATAGTGTCCCTTTAATCTGTCAATGGCTACCTTACACTAACGGATTTAATAACTATTTGGTGCTGCTGAATAATGCTAACTAATAGATTGATGCTAAAGGTTTTATTTTTTAATATAAGCTAAATAAGAATTAAAAATAGAAATACATGCTAACTCTTGTAGTTAATAGCAGCAACTCTCCTAATAGGTTTAAAAGCTTACGAACCTATATTGAATTCAGTCAAAAATATATAACTAAGAATGTGCTGAGAAACAAAAAAAAAATCAACTAAACAATATTCCAAAATAAAAATCCTACACCTAAAAATCTGTATATTACACTTGTACACCGATGTTAAGTTCCTCTCAGACATTTCAGGTCTCTTTAAATAAACATATAAAATACACAGTTAATAAAAGTCCTTCTTGATATTATGTTAAGTCTTCCTCTTTTTAAAGGCAGATCATCACAATACCGCATAACCTAAAGAGGAACATAGTAAATTAGGTTTAAAAATAATCTAAGCTAACTCCCATTATTATATAAAATAAAATAAAGCTCTTACACGTATACACATGAGCTATGTCTCCAACTCCAGACCCCCTGTAAGTAATTAATTCAACTTGGACAGGGAAAGCATGCTGGAGGTTCAGCATTACATTGAGACTCTGTCATGGTTAAAAAAAAGCCAGCACCCCACAAAATGCGGCAGCTATAGGCCCATATCCCTTATAAATCTAGACCTCAAATTGATGGCGAAAATGGTAGCAAACAGGCTTAAACCTTTACTGCCGAATCTGGTCCATTCAGACCAGGCCGGTTTTGTGCCGGGACGTGAAGCCAGGGACAATACCACAAAAATCTTAAATGTTATTCATGGAGCAACTATCAATAGAACACCAACACTTTTAATGGCAATAGACGCTGAGAAAGCCTTTGATAGGGTAGACTGGTCCTACCAGTTCACAGTCCTGGAAGTCTTGGGAATTGGCCCAAGACTTATGAACTGGATACAGACTCTATACAGAGGTCCCTCGGCCAATGTCAGAGTAAACGGCCAACTGTCTACACCCTTCCACATTACAAATGGCACACGCCAAGGTTGCCCACTATCTCCCCTATTATTTGTCCTAGCCATGGAACCATTCCTAACAGCGATTCGGTCTAGTACTGACATACACGGATTCCGGTACCATGGAGGCGAAGTGAAAGTCTCTGCATTTGCGGACGACGTTCTGTTTACACTCACGGATCCCATAAAAACCCTACATCACATAAAGTCGGAGATTCAAGTCTTCGGATCGCTCTCAAATTTTAAAATCAACGCGGATAAGTGCGAGATCCTAGGAATCTCGGTACCCGTGGCACTGCAAACTACGCTTCAACAAATGCACACTTTCCCTTGGACACGGACAGGACTGACATATTTGGGGGTTCGACTTACCACTACCATCATGGAACCTTACAACATCAATTACCCTCCCCTCATAGAGGATATTAAACAAGATCTGCATAGATGGATATACCCCATATCTTCCTAATGGGCAGGATCAGTGTCTTAAAAATGATGGTCCTGCCAAAAATACTGTATATGCTTCAGGCCCTGCCTATTCCACTACCAGGGACATTTTTTAAACGAATGAGGACTATCTTCATTAAATATATATGGGGAGACAAACCGGCAAGACTTGCCTTTACCACACTGACGTCCACCACAGACAGGTGGGGTTTGGGATTACCTCACATATATAAATACTATGTAGCAGACTTACTCACCAGACTAAAAGAGTGGACAGACACGAGCAAGAAAAGATCGTGGTACGATTTAGAACAGAGCTTTGTACCGGTCCCTCTCCAGACCCTCCCGTGGCAAACATGCCAACTCAAACACCTAACCCCCTCAAGACACCCCCTCATTCACAACATGCTCACAGTCTGGAGACGACACAAAGATAAGTGGGGACTGTCCCCTGGAATCTCGAGATTTTTCCCCACGGCCTATAATCCTGACTTCCAGCAAGGACAGTAACACAGAGACACACCACCCTCCTAGAAACTATGAGCAGAGCACAGCTTAAGGGATTCCTGACGAGACACGTCCTCCCCCTTTGGACCCGAAGAGGAGATACACACTTTGAACTCCTTTGTGGCCCAAAGGGCGACCGTAAACGGCCCTTATCTAAAATATACCGTATCCTACAGTCGGCAGACAGGGACCCTACGACTCCCACATTCCAACAGAAATGGATGACAGACCTCCACATACATCTATCGGACAAGGACTGGTCAAGTATTATGGAGACAGGTCTCAAAACCTCGATAAGTGTCACACGTAAAGAGACCTTCTATAAACGGATTACCAGATGGTACAGAACACCAGCCGTATTACACACAATATGCCCTTCACTTAGCAATATCTGCTGGAGATGCTCAGCCAGCAGAGGGGATATGGTACACATCTGGTGGAGCTGCCAGGACATTCAGCGTTTCTGGCAACTCATAATCTCGGAGATAACAAAGATACTAGCACCGACTACCCGCCTAACGGCACCCCAGGTACTGCTCGGCTGGCCACGCACGTTTAGAGAACCACATAGGCAACATTTAATGCACATTCTGCTAGGTGAGGCAAACGCCCTGATCCCACTGTACTGGCGTAAACCCAGTATTCCGACCTTAGAACAATGGGTACAAAAAGTGGAAGGAGCGAGGGAACTAGAAGACATTCACTGGTCGATAATGTGGAAACGTAATAGGCATCTCAAAACTTGGGAACCCTGGACAGAGTTTTGGACTCATTCCAGGACATAACCGTCCAAGAGACAGCCCTGGGCGGGACTGGACCCTTAGCAGCCAGCTAAGAGGAGCGAGTCATGAAACAGCAAAACTATGTTGAATACGGGAAGAGTTTAAAAGGAACCACATAATGGCTACCCCAACCTAGGCAGGGATCACCATCCCCCCCCTAATCCCCCCGTCCCCACTACCTATCGATCTTTACGGTTAATCACACACACCACCATACCCGGGAAGGAAAGGGGACAACCTCTTGTTTTCCGACCTCCACTAAAGGAAAAGTGTACACCTTTTTGCATAAACTTGAAGTAACCCCGGACAAGTTTTCTGCCGGGACGCTTACGTTTGTGATGTTAAATGTATCAGAGATGCACTGTTCATGTAAACTCTGAAATGTGATCATTGAATGCTCCCCTTTCTTTTCTGTACCCCATTTCCTTGTACACGAGAAATAAAGACAATTTAAATTTAAAAAAAGCCAGCAGATGGAGGTCACAGATTAGAGTATACATTTTTAGATTAGAAATCCCTTTGCTGATATCATTACTGATATTAGCATAGGAAAATCCTTAGGATCAGGATTAGGACCAGCAAGAGAATCCCTCTGCTGACATCACTATTGCTAAGATTAGGGTTAGCATTTGGGTTAGGTTTAGGGTTCTTATAAGGACCGATACTTAGCAAAGGAGATGTAGCCAAATGCAGCAAAAATATGTGTATGTAAAAATTATAAAATTATTGTTAAAAACTTTGACAAAAATGACATTTCAATAAAGTTCAGAATACATCATGTGAGCGTTCCCATAGTGTCCACAAATGGCATGCATTTATGGAATAATGCCCCATAATGCACCACAGACCCTTCAATTAGCCATTTTAGAAGAAAAAAAACACCGAACAGTTTATAAATTCAGCCCTGCATTTTCACAAGAACATAATATGGTTTAATTTTCATTCAGCTCTCAAAGGACAATGTGATTACTTTAGGTTTTTTTTGTCTCCTACTCTGATAATTCTCAGATAATAAAAATCTATGCATTTTTTTGTTTGTTTTGTAATAAATGAAAAAATTGTCACATTAAATTAAAGCCTTTTTTGGTGCAATAAAGGAAAGATGGAAATTGCGTTTGATCACACATAGCAAAATTGACAAAACAAGCAAACCGAAGTTATGTCCTCAAGGGGTTAAACAAATTCTAGGAGTATGTAGTACATAGACAATATCTCAAATGTTTAACCTCTTTCCGACCTCGGACGTGCAGGTTACGGCTGACAAAAAACGTCAGTTAATGACCGCAGATGTACCCTGCATGTCCGTGGCTAAAATGATCTGGGTACTCACCTGGACCAGCGATCCCGGTCCAGGGGAACTGCCTGAGATCCCAGCAGTCCCCCTACTGCAGCTCCGGCCTTTCCGGCCCTCCAGGGCCATGTGATCACCATGATCACATGGCCGCAATGGAAGTCTATAGTCAGCCAGTCCCCCAGGCACCTAAAATGTAAAAAAAAAAAAATATATATAGATATTATATTATATTAATATATTTTGGAAGGCTATTTGGTCTGAATTTGTGGGAGGAATTATGACCCTATTTAAACCCCTACCCCCCTACTTACCTTTTGCCATTCAAGCGGTTTGTCCATAGCAACCAGCATTTCCCATCCATGGTTTTCGCCAGAATCCAGTCTCCAGCAAGCAGTCTGTCGCCAGCAGCTCCTGCATCCGACCTCCGTGCCCATCAACCAGCTTCTATCCAACTACGCTACTCGGCTTCTGGTCACGAGAGGTGCACGTCCACGTAAGCACAACGTGGGAAATAGCGTTCGGCTATTTCCCATGTTCGGGCCTAAAAAAGCAGGGATAGGCTCCATTTATTACTAATATTATACTTACCCGTTTGTGCATTTTCTCCATTTGTGTACTTCTGCGTTCGTGAGGCTAACAGCTGACTGCAGAGTACACTCTCCTTCGTTTGTCATTCGTTTAAATTATCTACCGACTGCACTATACTCACGTTCGTTTGTCCTTTCATACGCATATACAGCCGAACACATAAACAGCTTTTCGTTCAGTCTTCCGCATGCTTCACTTAACCGACCGCAGGTGGTCTGTTCCATTTGCATTCCCCTCGTTTGTTCGTTTAGCCGAACACAGGAGGTTTCAGAGCTTAAAATTCACAAACCTGCCATAAATTGTACCTTGTAATGCCATTCACCTATAACAAATCAATCACCCTTTCTCATTTTTCTTATGTCAATTTTATGTGTAGTATCTGGCTCTCCAGTCATCACTAGCAATAATATAAATGTCTATGTGACACTACTTTCCTTTCATGGTTACATTAAATTATGGGACACAATCTATTCAGGGGAACCTTCTTAAAGACACTGTTCGGACACAATCACTTTACATATATATCAGTATGCTAAACACTCCGTCAAGCACCACTATTTAACCACGCTGTAACTTAGTCTATTGTAGTACTATTTATTTTCCGAGTATTCATACTAAGTCATCTGCATTACTAATGTTGCCCCGCCCACTTCATCTTTTCTTAGTTTTATCATGTCACAAATTAAGCTCCCTTTTCACTACACCCTGTTCCAAATTATTATGCAAATGATATTCTCATTTACCTAAATAATTGATGTAACAGTCAGCATAATTCTCATGTTATCAACTATTAAGAGTACAATTCAAATTTTATTGAACAAATCTCCTAATGATAACAGTATTTTTCTTAAACATAAATAATAAACATAAACTTACAATGTACTGTTCCAAATTCCAAAAACACTTTATAGGTTGTAAAGAACTGAAAATTGTAATTTGTTGTGTTTGTAGCAAATTTACTGAAATCAAAAGCTATTTCAATCAAACTTATAACAACATTTTAACTTTTTAAACATTTTAACACAGGACCCCTTATTTGATAGCAGCTTTACAAGTCTTGCATCTATTGAACTTGTGAGTTTTTGGACAGTTTCTGCTTGAATTTGTTTGCAAGATGTCAGAATAGAGCTGCTGTTTGGATGTAAACTGCCTCCCACCCTCATAGATCTTTTGCTTGAGGATGCTCCAAAGGTTCTCAATAGGATTGAGGTCAGGGGAGGATGGAGGCCACACCATGACTTTCTCTCCTTTTATCCCCATAGCAGCCATTGATGCAGAGGTATTCTTTGCAGCATGAGATGGTGCATTGTCATGCATGAAGATGATTTTATTACGGAAGACATAATTCTTCCTTCTGTACCAGGGAAGAAAGTGGTCAGTCAGAAAATACACATACTTTGCAGAGGTCATCTTTACACCTCCAGGGACCCTAAAGGGGCCGACCATCTCTCTTCCCATGATTCCGGCCCAAAACATGACTCCACCACTGCCTTGCTGACGTCGCAGCCTTGTTGGAACAGGGTGGCTGTCCACCAACCATCCACTACTCCATCCATCTGGACCATCCAGGGTTGCCATCCACTACTCCATCCATCTGGACCATCTCATCAGTGAACAGGGCTGTTTGAAAATTAGTCTTCATGTATTTTTCTGCCCAATGCAGCCATTTCTGCTTGTGAGCATTGGTTAGTGGTGGCCGAATAGATAGTTTATGCACAGTTGCAAGACTCTGAAGGACTCTACACCTTGATGTCCGTGGGACTCCAGAGGCACCAGCAGCTTCAAATATCGGTTTGCTGCTATGTAATGGTATTTTAGCAGCTGCTCTCGATTCGATGCATGGATCTGGCAGAAATCTTCCTCAATGTGCCTTTATCTGCATGAACCTGTCTGTGCTCTGAATCAGCCACAAATCTCTTAATAGTGCAATGAACACGCTTAAGTTTTTGTGAAATATATAATGTTTTCATACCTCGTCCAAGGCATTGAACTATTTTACTCTTTTCGGCAGCAGAGAGATCCTTTTTCTTCCCCATATTGCATGCAAATGGTGCTCTGCTTAATAATGTGGAACACCATCCTTTAGCAGTTTTTCCTTAAATTGGGCTCACCTGGCAATCTAATTATCACAGGTGTCTGAGATTGTTTTCAGTGATCAAAAGAGCCCTGAGACACAATGCCATCCGTGAGTTAAACTGAAGAACAAAATATTTAATCTTTGTGACACTTAAATAAATAGAATTTGCATAATAATTTGGAACAGGGTGTAGACTCATTACAGACCATTAGCACAAGTAGTAAATCTCTGTTTCCAAACCTTATACTCTGGTTCCTTATACTTAGATTGCATATGTTTTTAGGTTCTACTAGTTTTTCTTCAAACCACTCTCCAGGAAGTGGTATCCAGTATCCCACATTACGGTTTCAGGTAAGAAGGTTTACCATTTTAGGTTTTTCCCTTGAGGCCTTATTCAGCCTCCATGGCCTCATGCAGCCCCCCACCTCCCAAAGTGAGTTCTAAACTTCAAACCGTACCAGGTCTAAGATTCCACACTAAGATGTCAACAACAATCTCATAATACCTACTCCACCGTATTACTTCTATATTAACGGTACATTTCTTGTCTATCATTTCTACTTATCATGACTTAGACCTGTGTCATTACCGCAGTTCACCAAGTCCTACAACCAACAGGCTACCTGGTTCCCAGCATTTCAGTATCAGGTATTGTTAATCTTACTCAATACGATTACGTTTCTCCTTAAGGCCTCACTTCGCCTTCGTATCATTCAAAAAATTCACACTTGTGAGAACCCAGAGGCTGGTCTCTAATTACAGACCAACGTTCAGGTCCCTCAGCTTACACAGGTTCTTACGTTACAGTATCTCTGATACACACCTACACATACGTTCAACATTTTCACACTTGGCATACCAGTGGCACGCCTCAGGCCCACTAGCATCTTTCTTACCCTTAGGTTTCCTGGACTGGGCCCGTTCCCTGCAGAAGCAAGTATATAGATACACATATATTGAAGTCTTCCTGTGCTTTGTCCAAACAAACAGTACTAATACTCATAGAATGTGAAGGGCAGATAAGAACCATTCGGCCCATCTAGTCTGCCCAATTTTCTAAATACTTTCATTAGTCCTAGCCTTATCTTATAGTTAGGATAGCCCTATGCCTATCCCACGCATGCTTAAACTCCTTTACTGTGTTAACCTCTACCACTTCAGCTGGAAGGCTATTCCATGCATCCACTACCCTTTCAGTAAAATAATACTTCCTGATATTATTTTTAAACCTTTGTCCCTCTAATTTAAGACTATGTCCTCTTGTTGTGGTAGTTTTTCTTCTTTTAAATATAGTCTCCTCCTTTACTGTGTTGATTCCCTTTATATATTTAAATGTTTCTATCATATCCCCCCTGTCTCGTCTTTCCTCCAAGCTATACATGTTAAGATCCTTTAACCTTTCCTGGTAAGTTTTATCCCGCAATCCATGAACCAGTTTAGTAGCCCTTCTCTGAACCTCTCTCTAAGGTATCAATATCCTTCTGAAGATACGGTCTCCAGTACTGTGTACAATACTCCAAGTGAGGTCTCACCAGTGTTCTGTACAATGGCATGAGCACTTCCCTCTTTCTACTGCTAATACCTCTCCCTATACAACCAAGCATTCTGCTAGCATTTCCTGCTGCTCTATTACATTGTCTGCCTACCTTTAAGTCATCAGAAATAATCACCCCTAAATCCCTTTCCTCAGATGTTGAGGTTAGGACTCTATCAAATATTCTGTACTCTGCCCTTGGGTTTTTACGTCCAAGATGCATTATCTTGCACTTATCCACATTAAATGTCAGTTGCCACAATTCTGACCATTTTTCTAGTTTATCTAAATCATTTGCCATTTGGCTTATCCCTCCTGGAACATCAACCCTGTTACATATCTTAGTATCATCAGCAAAAAGACATACCTTACCATCAAGACCTTCTGCAATATCACTAATAAAAATATTAAAGAGAATGGGTCCAAGTACAGATCCCTGAGGTACCCCACTGGTGACAAGTCCAAGCTTCGAATATATTCCATTAACTACAACCCTCTGTTGCCTGTCACTCAGCCACTGCCTTACCCATTCAACAATATTGGAATCCAAACTTAAAGATTGCAGTTTATTGATAAGCCTTCTATGTGCAACAGTGTCAAAAGCCTTACTGAAATCTAGGTAAGCAATGTCTACTGCACCACCCTGATCTATAATTTTAGTTACCCAATCAAAAAAATCAATAAGATTAGTTTGGCATGATCTCCCTGAAGTAAACCCATGTTGTCTCTGATCTTGAAATCCATGTGTTTTTAGATGTTCAACAATCCTATCCTTTAACATGGTTTCCATCACTTTCCCCACTACTGAAGTAAGGCTTACTGGCCTATAGTTGCCCGACTCCTCCCTATTACCTTTCTTGTAAATGGGCACAACATTCGCTAACTTCCAATCTTCTGGGACTACTACTGTTAACAATGATTGGTTAAATAAATCTGTTAATGGTTTTGCTAGTACACCACTAAGCTCTTTTAATAGCTTTGGGTGTATTCCATCAGGTCCCATTGACTTATTTGTCTTTACTTTTGACAGTTGAAATAGAACCTCTTCCTCTGTAAACTCACGTGTAATAAATGACTCATTTATCCTTTTTCTCAACTGAGGTCCCTTTCCTTCATTTTCATCTGTAAATACAGAACAAAAATATTCATTGAGGCAGTCAGCCTAGACCTTTATCCTCTTCTACATACCTTCCTTCTTTTGTTTTTAATCTAACTAATCCTTGTTTTACTTTTCTTTTCTCATTTATGTATCTAAAAAATGTTTTGTCCCCCTTTTTTACTGACTGTGCTATTTTCTCTTCTGTGTGTGATTTGGAAGCTCTTATAACTTGCTTAGCCTCTTTCTGCCTAATCTTATAGATCTATCTATCTTCCTCACTCTGGTTTTTTTTATAATTACTAAATGCTGACTTTTTGTTTTTTACTATTTTGGCCACATCTGCAGAGTACCACAGTGGTTTCCTGAATTTTTTGCTTTTACTGACAAGCCTAATGCAATTTTCTGTTGCCTTCAATAGTGCAACTTTTAAATAATCCCATTTCTCTTGGACTCCATTTAAATTGCTCCAGTCTGATAATAACTCCTCTACACATATTCTAATTTTAGAAAAGTCTGTTTTTCTAAAGTCTAAAACTTTTGTTTTTGTGTGGTGTGACTCAGTCACTGTTCTTATATTAAACCACACTGACTGATGATCACTGGATCCTAAACTTTCACCTACAGTAAATATCGGATACCAAATCTCCATTTGTTAATCTCTTTACGAGTTGGCTCCTCAACGACTTGTTTTAGAGACAATCCCACTAGGGAGTTTAGAATATGTGTGCTCCTGGCACAAGCAGCTATTTTGTTTTTTCAATTCACATCAGGAAGATTAAAGTCACCCATGATAATAGCTAAAATGACAATGAAGGGGGAAGTTATTTCCTCAACTTATAGATTATCTAACTCTTCAATTTGTCCTAGGGGCCTATAAATCACACCTACACGAGTTACTGTAGGATTACCAAATTCTAACGTAACCCAAACGGACTCTATGTTTGCCTCACTAACTTTTATTAGGCTAGATTTTATGCTATCCTTCACATACAGGGCCACCCCTCCCCCTTTCTTGCCTTCCTTATCTTTTCTATATAAAGAGTACCCTGGTATTGCGATGTCCCAGTCATTTTTCTCATTATACCATGTCTCAGTAAAAGCGACTAAATCTACACTATCAGTTGCCATTAGTGATATCCCGAACGGTTCGCCGTGGACGGCGAACATAAACATAAACTTTGACCCTGTACCTCACGGTCAGCAGACACATTCCAGCCAATCAGCAGCAGACCCTCCCAACTCCTGGACAGCTCCCTAAGAATGCAGCTTCACAATGAATGTAAAATGGATGCTGTCCAGGAGGTGGAACGTGTAACAAAATGCATAGCAACTATTACACTGAACTAAGTCTGCCATTCCAATGAGGAGAATAATTTAAATCCAACAAATCTTAATTCTTATTCATCCTCCTGAATACCTCAGATTACCTCCAGTTTCTCTCCAGAATATCTCCAACTACACACTTAGATGAAGCAACCAAGCTAAGGGTTAGTATTTACATACGTTCAAATACATCATTCTAAGAGACAAGTCCCATCGGGTTAGGCGCTGGCCTTAGCTATCAAAGTTACTACACTGGTCCCGTGAAGTCTACACCTCACCTCATATGTGGAGGTTCGGCCCCACGACCAAATCATAGTTAGCTACCTCGCTCGCCCTCCTTTTGGGCTACAGCTAGGGCTTCCCAAGTCACGGCCACACTTTTTGAATCTCTTTACGGTCACCGAGAGGCCAACATCCTGTCACCACCTTCAAGTGGCCACAAAATCCCCTCTGCCCAAATCATAGGTACTAGCAGGGCCTCACCTGTCACTTGGTTGTAGGTAAACTCTTCGCTTCGGCACTAGCTAGCAGGCAAGTTCTCCTGAGGTCTCATCCCCACCTCCACTACTTATCCAAATCATTATTTCCTTTTTCAGAATGTCTCAAGAACCAATCATCGATCTGCCATTGGACGATATACCCAGCACGCCACTCAGGCCTGGGTCTCCGGAGGAATCTTACTCCTTCTACCCCCAGATCCCTGAGATATTGGACTATTCCTAAAATATTGGCTGAGCTCAGGCTCAGGGCCATCGCTAGAAAGGCTGAACTATACAAACTCCTGATGGCTCAGGCCATGACTTTAGGCCCGGCACTAGTTCGCAAGGGCCCCCAGCTAGCTACTCTGATTCCACACAGGAGACTCTGGCTGCTATTCTTGTCAATCTCCAAACCATAAACAGCAGATTGCAGAAAGTGGAATCGGCCACAGCCACACCAGGTGATTCAATAGCCCTAGCAGGCCCTCCTCCGGTAATCTCGGCCGCTCAGACTGACATACCCCTCCTTCCCCCTCCCCCACCAGCCACCACCACTCCCACTACCTTATACGTCTCTCCAGCCCACTCTGTCCCAGCTTCCATCAAGAAGGATATTTTTGATGGAAAGGACGTTAATCTTATGTCTCTCCTCATAGCCTCCCAAGATATCCTAGAAAACCGAGCTTATAACTACGGGGACATTTCAGTAGTCTTAAGAGCCAGAGACCCACGACTAAACAAAAACTTCATATTCCCCAGTCTGTCATCGCATTTGCCATTTATCGTGACGGATCTGCACGGATTACCCACATAGGAGAGAAGAGCTTGATTTATACATGCACAAGGTGGTTGATTTGGGCATCAAGTATAGAGGGTCCTCATTTTACGACTACCACAAATCAGTTTCGGCCAAGGCAGCTACTCATCTGGCACAGTTCAATATTAGAATCGATTGGTGCCAGATGGTTACTGAACTTTTTTGCCGTCATTTTGCCGGTTTGAGGCCCCCCGTCCTGTGCCTCATGTAGTTCCACTTCTCACTCCACCGACCTGTGCCCTTGCGACACAGACCCTTACACTTCCAAGTCCCACCACTCCTTTACTCCACACATAAGACAGGAAGGTGGACAAAGAGACAAGCTGGGCAGACCCATCACATTCTTGGGCAAGGCGCACGTGTGCAATAACTTTAATATGGGGGCATGCAGCTACAGCGCATGCAGGTTGTTTCACATCTGCTCCATTTGCTTCAGAGCCCACACCAAGACTATGTGCCCGGCCTGACTGGCACCTAACAAATGAGTTGGTTTCTACCTGCACTCACTCCCAGTTAGGCGACTGGGACTTATCTGGTGACGGGTCCTCTCTCTAAGGTTCTCACTCGGGACTCACGACCTTCCCCTCATGTACATCCACATGACCAAAACCCCTGGTGTTATCTGCATTTGCTGCATTATGTACGGCGAACCACCTTCTGACCACATCATTACGCTGGCATCATGTTCAGCTATTACTCACTACTACTTACACTCCCAGTTAATAAGACGCTTATTATTGACCTTTCGCATCTCATTTCTTCCTCCAGTTCCAGCAGTTAATTCTCTCATACCCGATGTATAGTTTGCATTGTAATATGCCAAATTGGCTGCCACACAATCTACTATTTCAGCGGGTAGGAAGACATGGTTAAGCAAACACTCGTTCTATGCTAAGCTTGTTTCCTTGCCATAGCATTACGAACTAACTTTGCAAACCAGCTACCTCAGTAAAGCTGACTCATTAGTGGGGATGTGGTAGTCCAGTTCCTCCGGGGTGGTACGTGTGGAGCAGAAGGGACCCAGTCCTCACTGGGACCCCTTGACTTTGCTATAAGTATTACCCCGCGGGGGTGCGGCTGTTTGTCTCTTTGAATAATCATCCCCTGCCCAACCATTTGTCGACCCTGACAGAGCAGGTCTACTCACGTATAGTAGATGCCTGGCCATAGAGTACAGGGTTTATTTGGTACATTCCAACAAGTTCAGAGCTCTCAACACAATTGGGTTTGAAACCTCTTTTCGCAACTACTGGTTAGGGCCCATCGACCACTGAGTCAGATGCCTGCCCAGTCTTTAAAGAAACATCCAATGTTTTACATCCCTGGTGCCCATAACACAGCTGCTGACACTTTTTTACGCTCTCAATCCCGCTGGCCCACCTCCAACCATCCAGGACACCACTGCTCCTCCAGCTAATACTGGATTAAGCGGACTATTACTCCACACACAAGCACCACGCACTGTCACCCAACGATCACTTACGCTAGGGCACTGACTATTTTTAACAAATTCACCGCTGAGTTTTACTTACAAGGTGACTTTTCCATTAAAACTATGGTGGCTTTTGTCTCCTTCTGTCATCTACACCTTAAACTTTCACACAATACTATCAAACTCTACCTTACCGGGGTACAACACCACATCCTCACTACCTGCCCTAACCGTGCACCTTTTCTAACTTCCAACCCAAGAAAATCCTTAAAGGTATTTATAAGGTCACAGTTCCTCTTGGCACTACTGGATTGCCAATAGATGGTCCAATATTCAGGCTCCTTAGCGATCAATTGGACATATCCCTGTTTGACCATAATACAAATCTGGTCATTAATGCCGCCATCTTTTTGGCTTTCTCCGGAAGACCTAGAGAGTTCACTGTCATATGTCAAGGAGATACCGCCCTATGTCTAAAACGTTCTCACTTAAAGTAGATGACCACTACATACTCTCCTTGCCTTCTACTAAAGCTAATCACACTGCCTATCCTAATATCATTCCCCTCTTCCCTACTGCGAATCTGTGGTGCCCATTAAATATTCTGGATTTGCTCCTGTTATCTCACCAGACACTCCACTACTATTACTCCAAGGGCACCCACTCACCACAGCTAAATTCATTTTGCACATCAGAACCCTACTATCAAGGTTGGGCTACAACCCAGCTTCCTTCTCTGGTCACTCATTTCGTATCAGCGCAGCATCATCGGCTTCAAGCACAAACACCCCGGTACACATCATTAAGAGACTGGGACGCTGGAAATCCTCAATATACAACACCTACATTCCTCAACCAGAAAGGGACCTTCAGGAATCTTGCTATTTAAACTTGCAATAAAGTGTGTGTTTACTTCTAATTCCTTTTTGCCCTCTTTTTTACAGGCATACACGTGCGTTGGTTTCGGCACACTTCAACCAACTCTGCTTCTCCTCTACATTCCATTTACGCATTAGAAATTCCGAGCACAAGTTGGAAGGCCATTTGGCTTGAATTTGTGGGAGGAGTTATGACCCTATTTAAACCCCTACCCCTCTACTTACCTTTGCCGTTCAAGCTGTTTGTCCCCAACCACCTACCCTTCTTTATATACATTTCACTTTATGGGCCCTCTTTTTTACAGGCCTACTCGTAGGTTGGTTTCAGCACACCTCAACATTCCATTTACGTATTATAAATTCCGAGCACAAATAATAATAATAATAATAATAATAATAATAAAATATATATATATATATATATATACACACACATACATATATCTTTCTATCTATCTCTATATATTGGAAAATATATTCATACTTACCGTAATTTTCTTTTCCTGGCTATTATTCATGGCAGCATATACAACGTGGGTTAGCTCCGCCCCTTACAGCCGACTAAGGTCCTTAGTCAGTTTACAAGCTCTACAGTAGGTAGAGACATTAATGGGTGGGTAGTATATGCTGCCATGAATAATAGCCAGGAAAAGAAAATTACGGTAAGTATGAATAAATTTTCCACTTTCCTGGCTAATCATGGCAGCATATACAACATGGGAATACCTAAGATAACACAGGAAGGGAGAGAAACGTAAATAATTTCCAATCAAATAAGAACAATTCAACCCAGCTTGAAGAATGAACTGAGTTACGTACTTGACGTCCAAATTGTGCACCATTGACTGTTTCAACGAACAGTATGAAATGCCAGACAAATGTGTGTAAAGAGGTTCAAATGCTAGCTTTACAAAAAGCGTCAGCAGAAACCATTGCCATAGAAATCCACAATGCTGCAACGGCATGGGTGGAGAGTGCCCTGATACCCTCTGGCACAGGTTGAGAATGGCATCGATAATCTTTCCTTTTAGGCTGGACCTCAGAGGCCAAATACAAGACAACCATAACCTGTTGAAAAACAGTGATTGGGGATTCACAGGACCAAGCCTGGAGTTCACACATTCTCCTTGCTGAGGTACCAGTCACCAGCACTTTCTGTGCTACCACCATGGAAGCTCCTGCTAGAGGGTTTGAATAATGGTTCAATCAAATCCCGTGAGACCAGTGGTACATCATATATTGGCTTCACCGCACTTAGTGGAGGCTTGAGATCAATCAATGCTTACATGAAGCAAAGCACCAGGGGCTCCAGTGTTCAATGGGCACCCATCTATGTGGAAAGTGCAGATATGTGCTCCTCTAGAGTGTTATAACTCAGATCCTCTATAGGCCTGATTGAGGAGTAATTCCAACAGACAAATGCATGCCATGTTTTGTAAAGTATTTATAGGATGGCAAGAGGATCTCAATCACAGTCTCAGGGATGCCCATACTTATGGGGACTCCTGCATCAACACCAGAACTCTAGGATCTTGGTGTATCAAAGGACCTTGTAATAGGTCTGGACGTACTGGAATTTCCCCTGGAGTTTCCAGAATCATCTATTCATCATAGAATAGAGTTGACGTGGCCTTCCACGGTCTCCTTTTGAATTAGGAAAGTTGAACTAGGAAAGTTGAAAACCGGAAACTATATTAGTGTACATAAATATGCACATCAGACTACTTCTGGAAAATACTTCTGGACCTGGTAGTTCCAAGAAATGGCCATCAGATCTATGTAGGGTATCAGACAAATCTGCGTCAACCCCGAGGATACGTCGGGGCATGGTTGCTAATCCACCTTGTCCAGTTATTCAGCTCAGGTAATCAGTCATTGTATTCAGAGCCCCTGGTTGTTCTTCTGTGCCCTGATTATCATGGACTGTAATTCCATCAATACGTAGCTGTGAGGCCCATCTAGATAGATATAGGATACAGATACTTGAAATTGAGCAAATTTGGACCCAATTGTTATTTAGTAACCCTCTGAAGTGAAGAAGAGCCCTGAAATTGACTTGTACTTCCATACAATTGAATGGAAATAATGTGCAACATGGTCCAAACACTGTGTAACCAATCTTTGAAAACAGGAATCAGAGCTTATAATTGACCAATGAGGGTCTGTTCATTGGAAACACAGAGATATATTCTCTCTTTTTAGCTACCAGGTAAGGTGTAACCCCACTGATGGGGACATAGTCAGTGGCTGGCTCCAATAATCTTTCTCTTGTTAAGCCAAGATAGGTAGAATCATTGAGAAATACAGAGATGCCATTGGGCCCATCACACAAGTCTGATGGTGGAAGCCAGGAGTTCTAGTAGTTGCATCTACTTTCTTGCTGTTACCAAGCAAAATTAAAGAAACTGGGAGAGAAACCTCCACAATCTGTGCAACTGTTCCTGAGATAGGAAAAAGGCAGAGCATAGCATCTTCCACCCAGAAATGTCAACCACTGAACTGGCGTGAATCTTCTTTTCTTGATATACATCAAGCAGCCAAACTTCAGGAGTTTCTGAAAGAACTCTCTTCCTCTGTGTGCCTACGGCTACCAGAAGTAGATCATCCAGATAATGGAACCAGGTGGTGTTCTGGACTCTCAATATCACTATAAGCACATAAAAGGTTTTTTCGGGCTGCAGTGAGGCTGAATGGTAGGGCACTAAATTGGAAGTTCTCTTCAGAGATAATGCTGAAGATCTAGGTCGATTGGAATGATAGTAAGAATCCTTGACATATATATATATAGAGATAAGGAACTTATCCTTCCACATTGCTTGAGATATGGATCTGATTGACTCCATCTTGAAGACGGACATTTAGCCTTTTGTTGGTCCTTCTTAGGTCCAGTGTAGGCTTCCATGTGCTTTTTCTTTTAGCACCATATGAGAGGAGAATATTGTCCCTGGAACTGCTCTTGTTATAGGACCTAAGAAATCACCTCTTCGTCCAGAAGGCTTCTTACATATTCATTTAGTGCTTACCTTTTGATTCACCGGTCTTAATTCTCTTGTTGGTATAGAGACTCCTGTGTCAGAAGAAAAAACTCCAGTCTAAATCAATCTGGACTATGGATACCACCCAAGTCTCCAGAATGTAACGAGCCCAGGTCTGTCTGATCAGAAAATGAGGCTCCTAGTACTGAAGGAGACCCGTTCATTGCTGAAGTGCAATATGACTGCTTCATAGCTCCATTAGAGCCTTGAAAGGCAGGTTTACCAACTGCCATGAGTTACCTCTGGAGTATTCCCTGCAGGGTCAGTAGCTCCATGTATCTCAGAAATGCTGGTCACTGTAGGTTCTCCGTTCTGACTATGAGGAACTGGGATTCTTGGAACTTCAGTCCTGAGGTACAAATACCTTGTAGCCCTCAATCGCCTTTTCAATGGATTCATCCAAAGCTTACCCAAACAGCACCTCCCCTTTAAAAGAATGGTGTAGAGGGCAGACTTAAAGGATGAGTCATCATCCCAGAATCAGAACCATAATGCTTTCCTAGCTGCTATATATGCTATAGGTAAAGCCATCTGATCAAGAGAATACCCTAGTTACCTGTAGGGAAGCTTCTGTGAAGAAGTCAGTTGTAACCTGAAGACTTCAGGCTGCATCTTCAATCTTGGCTCTTAATATCTCACTTCATAGTAGCCTTCAGATGCTTAATCATATTTTTCATGGTTGAAGAAACAGCAGTGAAAGCTACAGCTATCTGACATCCTGCATTGGCAGGAGTATAAATTTGGACAGATCTGCGTCCATTTTTGATCCATAAGTTTGAAACTTAGGTGGTGTAGATCAGGGGTTGGAAATACCTTCTTCCACAGGATAAGGTCTGGCCTCTTTTATACCCCTAAAGCCTCTGTAATACCTTGGAACTTCGTTTGTAAGCCATGGCCGCTTGTCATGTGGCTGTACAGTGACAGGTCATGCTGAAAGGGCTACCTTCTGGAGGCAGTAAGTGCATAACCGTTTTCCTTCCACGGTTTTCCCTTCATAACCAGAATCTGATGTAGATTCAGACATCAGATAAATAATAAATAACTAGAAAATAAATATTACCTGTGGAAAGCACTAAAGTAAAAACGTGCACTGATAAATTCTATTAAGAAATCAGTGAAACAGATTAAAAACTGGGTGTAGACAGCACCTGTTCCTGTCTGGACACCCTCAAATACTTACCAAATAAGTTGGGGATGTTTACTGTAATTCTCACTTCATTTTAGGTACTT